CCTGGAGAAAAGAAGGCTCTGGGGAGACCTCATAGCAGCCTTCCAGTATCTGAAGGGAGCCTACAGGAGAGATGGGGAGGAACTCTTTATCAGAGAGTGTAGTGATAGGATAAGAGGTAACGGTTTTAAACTGAAAGAAGGTAGATTTAGATTAGGTATTAGGAAGAAGTTCTTTATGGTGAGGCACTGGGACAGGTTGCCCAGAGAAGCTGTGGATGCCCCATCCCTGGAGGTGTTCAAGACCAGGCTGGATGGGGCTTTGAGCAGCCTGCTCTAGTGGGAGGTATCCCTGCCCATGGCGGGGGGGTGAAACTAGATGATCTTTAAGGTCCCTTCCAACTCTAACCATTCTATGATTCTAATTTTACCTTGCTATTCTGCAGTGCTTATGTTTAAGCGTCATTAAACTGTAAAAAACCCACATAGCTGTTTATTCCCCAGCAGGCTTGCACTACCCTGTCCTTTATCTGAATGGTTACCTTGCAGCTTTTACCCTGCAGGATCCTGCGGACGAACCGGCAGTGTCCTCAGGCCAGGAAGCAACAACCGGAGAGAACTGGCCAGCCAGCCATAAAAAAGAGAAGGAGGCACAGGAGAGCGAGGGAGGAGGCTGAGAGCACCCCAGGTGGCTCCTGGCTCTCACAAGAAGGTGGGACAGGAGAGTTCATGCCCGTGCACAGGGACAGAGCCTCTGCTTCTAAAGCGTCCTGGAAAAGACTCTTTGCAGAGGTAGATCCCTAGTACTCATCTTGGCGGGGTCAGAAGGGACATGGCACTCAGGTTTTACTTCTGAGCACTTGGGAGAAGAGATCTTTCATGTCAACAGAGCCATCCCTCTGGTGAATTTTTCTCCCAGAGGAGATAATCCAGTCTTAAAATGTTCCTGATCCTGCCATGCCAAGTGGGAAGAAATCCACATTTTTCCCTTCCATGTAATTTAATAATCAAAATGGCTTCACCAAAGCAGTTGAGCTCCATAGTAGGGCTTGATAGGAGGTCGAGAGAGGAAGGGTTAGCAATGTTGTGGGAAGGTCCAATAGATAATTCAGGACAGAACAGGCTTTCCTTAGCTCTTGGCTTGTCTTTGGCCACCAGAGAAAGACGTTTTGCTGTGAGGACATAGGGTCCTTGAGCACTACTGGGCAAGTCAAGTGGGGCTGTGAGTTGGAATACTGGTGATGATACCCACTACCTAAATTACATGGGTAAAACGAGAAAAAAAAAGGAGGATGTTACTTGCTATTAAACATATTTGTCACCTTTTCAACACACTTGATGTAAAAGCCTTACTTTAGTGCGAAACTATTCCAGTTGGAACATGACATGTGCCATGTGTCCAAAACACAGGTTTTATGAAGCCCTCCTCTGCATAATTTAAGTCTTACCAAAAACAAGTTAATAATTTAATTGCCTGTGGCTACACCTCACTGACACTTCTGAGCAGCACCGGGTTTTGTGACTACCTCCCCTCGGCAGGCATCCGTGTTACAGAGTGAGGCACCCAGTATAAGGTGCACCAGCCCAAGCCTGTCACAATCCAAGGCAGAAATGGGTTAGAAAACTTACTTTTTTATTACTGTGTTGAAGCAGCCACTCATACCCACCTGTCTGAGGAGAGGTCAGCATTTCCTTGTGCAACCCATGGATGCTTTCAATGGATCTGATGTGCCTTTACTGGTCCTTCTGCTGCTCCTGGCTGTAGGGACAGCTATGTTCCAGAGACAGGTAGGAGGAAAGAAGACCTGCTGGCTTTTCTTAGGAGGACACTGGAAGGAGCCCAAGGCATAAGCAGCTCCAAACACATTGGGTTTGCCACCCTTTGCAGGTCAGACCCGCTGTGCTTACCCCATGGGGCTGATCAGCGCATCCCTGCATCCCGGTGTGTCCCGAAGGCAGCAGTCTCACTGTGAATCAGCACACTGCCTTCACCCCGGTTTCCCCAAGGACATGAAGTACCTGGTACATACCACACTATGACAGGAATATAGGGACAATCAGTGCCTGCAGTGCATCCACTCGCCCCGTTTGTTTGGGCATACAAATCCAGCCGGTTACCACTGGAAGAGCCAGCGACTTTTCAATGCCTGAGAGTTGGCAGGTGTGAAAGAAGAAGGTGGGTTTGTTTGAAGAAGCTATGGCATACATATTTATGGCAACCAAAAGAGTAGTGCAGCCTGCAGGGCAAACAGCACCTGGCTTTTCCCCCAAGTAAGGGCAGACTTTTTCTTAAGCCTAAAGCAGGAGTGGTGGCAGGTGAGTGGGCTGTTCTTCCTGCCACGCCACGGGTTGGGTCCTGCAGGCTCTCTCCTCACTCACTGTCCCCCAGTGCTACAGCTGCTGGGTGACTCCCAGTGTTTGGCAGGGAGCAAAGCAGTGGTTGGACATGGCCACGACACATGGCTCTCATCTTGAGGAAGTCGCAGTGCTGGTCCTGCTTCGCAGGAGCCACTGGTTGATGCAGCTGCCAACCCTTGCCTGACCACAAGGGTCCTCCTGCCCACCCTCCTCCTTCTTCACCCTCCATCCCTGTCATGCATTGCCCTCTTCATTACGGATGTCTAGAAAAACAAAGCAGGAAACAGATTTAACTAACAAGGTCATACAGTGTGGGGGAAAAGCGGCGTTTTGGCTGGATGTGGTCTGCAACACAGTTCACTGTGCAGAGCTAGGGCAGCTTGGCCAGGCTGAATGGGGCTTTGAGGAGCCTGCTCTAGTGGGAGGTGTCCCTGCCCATGGCAGAGGGGTTGGAACTTGGTGATCTTTAAGGTCCCTTCCAACTCTAACCATTCTATGAGTCTATGAAGACAGGGCCCTGGCAGGTGAGATTGCCAGGCTGGGCCCAGGGATGGCTGCAGCACAGCTTAGAGAGGGACTGAGGGAAGGGCCCCGGGCTCCATGGGACCCACACGCACACAGAACATCCCCACTGTATGTGTTTAACCCCCTGGCAAGTGGGTCCAGATCCCTGGTGCAGGCTGTCACTCCTTGTGCCCTGGCAGGGGCTGTGCCTCCCCACAGCCACTTCCCGCTCCAAAGCTCCCCTTCCCATAAGTCCATATAGATAAAGAAGGCCTTCAGGAATATTTCATGAGCAAAGCTCAAACACGTCTGCTTTTACCTTTCAATGGCAAAAGGTAGCAGCACTTCCATCAGCAACACTTTTTTTTTTTTCTCCCCCCCCAAAGGGAATTTATTGCTTTCCTAAGGTAGCTTTCTGGACTGAAGTCCTCCGTTTATCTCCAGCGCCAGTACAGCAGATTGCACCCAGTACTTTTCCTTGGATCGGTGACCCGTGAGGAGGGGCACCTCCGCAGCTGGAGCCAGTTCAGTCCCAGCGGTGCCGTTAGGCAGGGCCTCAGCTGTCAGGAAAGGTCTTGCCTCCCTCTGCAAACACAGGGTCTGCACCCTAAGACACATGGAGGAGCCCCAGCTCTTTCCCTCACTAGCTGCACTGGCCAAAACTGCCCCTGGATTTACCTCCCTAGGGTATTTATTTATTTTTTTTAACCAGTTGAGCTCCCTGCTGGGAGCCGCAGCCCAGCAGAGAGTGGGGGCCAGGCATGCCTGTAGCCTGCTGGCAGGTGGAACTTGATCTGCGAGGCTGCCAGCAAGGACAACACTATCACCTGAAGATGATGGGGGAGGTAAAGAAAGTTTAGTGTAGCATGTGCCTGCTGCGTCAGTCACCTTGTGCTGCTGGGGAGCACACTGGATCAGGAGAATGAAGATAAAGCTGAGATAGAGCACTCTGTGCCTGTGAGGTGGCAGAGGAACCGTGCCCCTGTAACAAAAGCTGGCATGCAGGCGAATGAGACAGCAAGGAGTTCATGCCACGTGCCCACGGGACTGGCCCCGGCACCCAAGGCAAGGAAGAGAAAGCCCCACTGCAGCTCTCACCCACCGGCCTCTCTCATCAAACAGAACAACATCCCAATGAGATTGGCCAACAGTGTCCTAAGCTATCTGGACAGGACTGAGAAAGGCCTGGAAATGGCGACCAAAAACCAAGGGATGAGGGGTTTATTTGCTTGCCTAGCGGATATAAACCACCTTCATTGCGATTTAACTTGAGCAATCAGCCAAGACACCAAGCAGCAGCACAAATACACAGGTCTGAAATAAAACAGCCAGCCCCCTCAGTTTCTCCCAGCTGCTCCTTATCCATAGACCAACATAGAATCACAGAATGGTTTGGGTTGGAAGGGACCTCAAAGATCATTGAGTTCCACCCCCCCTGCCATGGGCAGGGACACCTCCCACCAGACCAGGGTGCTCAAAGCCCCATCCAGCCTGGCCTTGAACACTTCCAGGGATGGGGCATCCACAACTTCCCTGGGCAACCTGTTCCAGTGCCTCACCACCCTCACAGTAAAGAATTTTTTTCTGGTATCTAATCTAAATCTCCCCTCTTTCAGTTTAAAACTGTTACCCCTTGTCCTGTCACTACACTTCCTGACAAAGAGTCCCTCCCCATCTATCCGGTAGGGCTCCTTCAGATACTGGAAGGCTGCTATAAGGTCTCCCCGGAGCCTTTTCTTCTCCAGGCTGAACAACCCCAGCTCTCTCAGACTGTCTTCATAGGAGAGGTGCTCCATCCCATGCACCTCCCTTGAATTCATGCACCTCTTGACGTTATAGCTTCCCTGTAATTCCCAAAAGGCATTGCCTTCTCACAGAAACACAGGGTGGCCCATACCCTTTGCATTTAATTCAGAAATATCAATCCAATTGACCGCACAGGCACCTGTTGCTGTAGGAACTTCACCAGTGGCATCTGAACCCTGTCGTTCTACATCCTTTCCCTTCCCACCCTGTATCAGGATTGTACCAAAGCCAGCCACGAGACGCAGATGATGGGGCCGGCTCTCTAGAGAGAAGACAAGAACAGCAGAGGATTGCAGTCCACACATTGAGCAATTTCTATTGGCAGCAGAAGACCTCTTGCTCTCAATCTAATACACTTTCAACTTGAACTGCCATTAAAAAGCCCACAGTCTTTCTGCAATCAAACAGCTTTTATTGAACTCTTTATATTGTACATTTGTGAACATTTGTGCAATAAATAGAGCACATAGTATTTTTTCCCAGCTCCTTAAAGCATAAGATGTCTTCCCTTTGTCATGGTAGTGTGTTGACACTACACAATAAGAAAGGCTATTGGATGGCAGTGGCAACGCCAGGCAACCCCTGACAGTGAGCATGTTGTGTAAAATTCGTAACAGCAAATAGCCTTTTTTCAGAAACCATTACCAACTAGCTTTCCAGACCAGATGAGACTGGTCTGGTTTCTCAGAGGAACCTCAGCTAGACAGAGCTCTGGAGTCAGCCACAGCTCGTGGAAGAAGAGGGAAGTAATACTGGATGCAATGACTTCGGAATGACCCTTGAGTCATCGCCCTGATAACTGCTTGCAAAATATTATACAGATTTTACTGGATAATTGTCTTCAGGTGAGAAAATAAAAGTATTTTTGCAGAGCCAACATTAGACCAAAAGGACTGATATTCTCTTACAGTGACAAGCAAGTACAGCATAAATTGTTGATAAAAATACCCACGTGCAAAACGGTTTTCAGGCTTAGTCAGCACTTAATAAGCAGCACAGGTGAACAGAAGATGCAAGGCACCCACTTCAGAATAAAATACAGTTCTGTTCAAGCTCTGGACTTGAATTTCAGGTTAAAGACCAAACAAACAAATTGCAGCGTCTTTCTTGGTCCTCGGAGTATTTGAAACAAAGAGATGAGTCCAGCGTTAATCCAGCCCTAGCGCTACTAACCAGGACCAGGCTAATTAACAACATTCTCACACATACAAAAAAGCATCATGCTCATAAGCTTCTGCATCAGAGAAACTTCAGCTTTGCAGGATTCCCTGTCCCCCTCTCTTTGCTGCCTTCATCCCTACTACAGGAAAGAGCTCTGGAAAGTTTTTCAGTCATTCAGCAACTCCATCTATTTCCCCAGTTTCTCTGGTAAAACAGGGCTGCTGCTGTGAGTAAGAGTAGTTGGTGACCACCATTTTCTCCTTGTGCCAGGGCAGAAAAGGGGACAGCTCTGGTTCTTAACAAGTCGCACAAGCAGAGTGGCACACATGGATTTCTTTGATACTTTGACTTATCTGGATTGCTTTAGACCCACATTCCCTCTTCCCTACCAGCCCTAACCACCCCTTCTTTCTTTGTCAGCAATACTACCTGATTTCCTGACACTACAAAGACTAATTTATGAACAGTAAACTAAAAAAACAAATTTAAATCTTGACACTTTTCTCCGTATCACAGGTAAAGCTACCCATTAATCTTCTGCTGACCCAACTCTAATTTCTCTCCTGTACTGCTGTTCTGAAAAGCAACTTTGGGAATCTCCTTGTACCCTACCTGTATTTCTTGCCAAATTTGGCTAGGCTGGGACACAGAGCCTTTACAGGCACAAAAAGAAAAAGAAAAAGCCCCATATATTTAAGCATCCCCTCCCCACCACCATCAGATGAAAAATAGGGGGCAGGGGGGAGATCAGATAAAAGCAAGTAGGGTAGATTTTCAAAAGCAACAGCAACACCAAAATTTATCAGCAGTGATGGCTACGATTGCAGCAAACACTCCAGTTAGTAGCACCTAGTGAAGCATACAGGTTCTTTTACAAGTGTGGGAATCAAAGGATACAGTGAAAATACAAGTAATCAAAGAAATAACTCCCTCTCAGTCTCCTCTATACATTAAGACTAGATATGAAAATATATCTATTTGAAATAATTGGGAAATGAGTTTAGAAGGTTGGCTGAAATAATGTCTTAAGGGGTACAACCGACCATTCACAGACTCTCTCTATGCTGAGAAACATAAAGGATGTTAAAAGTGCTAAGATCAAAGACCATGCCCTTAACTGCACTAAGTTATTTATGACCCCTTGGGAAGCAGCTAAAACAATACAGTTTGAAAGATAAGTTATTAGGCTCTGCCAAGCAGCAACAGAGGTAAGAGAGAGCTTTTCAGCCTAAAGCTAATCCAGATTTGAGAAGAGTGTCTTTAACACGCAGGTACACATATCCCATACTCACACTAGTTCAGCTTCAGCTTTTCAGTAGTCTAAGCACCCAAGCTGGGGTTGCTACTACAGTGAGGGGAAACAGAGAGAAAGGAATCACTGCATAGCAGAAGGGTAAAAAAAAAAAAATTAAAAATCAATCATACCTTAAAACCAATTATTATTGAAGTTGTATATTTTTAGACTTTATAGTAGTTTACTCCAGAGCCTTGAGAAAAGTTGTCTTAAATCTTAAAGTATATAAATGTAATAATTAAACCATAGTTTAAAGGTAAGTATGATTCATATTACTTCAGAAATAGCCCTAATCCAAAGGGGCAGCCAACATCTAAGGAAATAAACCGAATAAACGTATCATTCACCAGCATGGCATTACAGAGTTATCAGAAATCAGTCTGAGGCTTTAATTATTATAGCAAAGTTCTTAACATTCACAAACTTAAGGTGAGAGAGAAGCTGCTATTAAACAAACCTGTCGCACTGCTGGCAGGCAGACACCATCACTGATGTCACTTCTTTGGCTTTGAGCTCTTGCCTCCCTTCTCCAGGCCAGCACCACCCAAGGCACAGATGCAAAGGCTCTGCTTGATGTCCTTTGCTCAGCACTGACGTAGGACAGGGTGGCTTCCACCACCTCCCTCCTCCGGGCCCACACTTCCAAAATATACAGCAAATTCCACTGCCACAGGGAGGCCAGCAAGGTAGAAAGAAATCTATATATAGGAGGTAGTAATTGTGATTTTTAAATAGTTCCTTTGTTTTCTCTTAGCAGAGTCACAACTCCCTTCAGCTTTTTTTTTTTTAATTAAAGAAAGAAAAACACACAACAGAACAACCCAACTTTGCTATCCTAGCAGCAATAGCCCCAGCCTAAGTAGCATTCTTCTACTTCAGTGGAGAGACAAGCTAAGTAGTATTACTCTTACTGATCAAAAACTTTATTCTTGGAAAAAGGCCAGTCAGAAGATTATTAGAGCAGTCCTTATGAAGATGAGGAACGGCTACTTTTCTTCTGTTACCCGAGGCTGATTCCACTCATCATTGCCACCAAGAGCAGCCGGTAGTCTGAGCGTAGCAGTGTATGGATGGGGCTGCCAGTGCCAACCCCTGCCATGGCTACACAAGTCAAACATTACTGAAAAATCCAGAGTTAAAGAAGTGGTGAAAAGCCGTAGCTGCATACACCTAGTGCATGGTATTCTTGTGTACTTTTGAGTACCAGCCTACACCATGTTTGCCAGTTACTTCCAAGCTTGGCTACAGTGCATTCACTTAATAGTAGGGGTTTTCTCCTGGAATAAGGCACTACAGTGTAGGAGCACTTGAACAGGACTTTAAAGAGTTTACAGTTCTTGACAGATTACCTTTGGCTTTTCTAAAACAGGCATAAAAAGAAGCACTATAAGATAAATAAGAGGGTGCAAAGGTAAGGGGAAGGTACTAGATGAAACTGTGTGATTTTCAAAAACCTCTAGGCGAGAAGCTTGATCTTTTAAATCTTTTCACTTGTGCTAACAATTGGGTTAAAAAAAGAAAGGTCTGTCTTTGCAGTAAAAGCAGGTGCACTGTGCAAAACAAAAGTCATTAGTTTGTTTGTCACTTCACCGTCAGGCTTCTACTCAAGTCAGTTTTTCCTCAGAGCAGTTGGTTGAAACAAGCCCCAACTCCAGCCCTCTGGGCTTCCTCCTGTTTTACACCAATCTCATCAAAGAGAAACTCCCCTTTCCTCTCTCCGTGTCCCAGTTCTATTTTTGTCTCCACACCAGTATTACCTAACTTAACACTCCTGCATGAAAAAAAAAAAAAATCCAAAACTTTCCAGAGCTCTCTTGGGCCCCTCCTCCAGTAACTCTTTATTTCAACACATTACATGAATGTGAAACATTTTGGAAAGCCAGACTTTAGACATAACAAGTTAGGAACTTACCGGTTAATTTAGGCAATATTTTAACATATATATATATAGGTAAAAAAATAAATTGTCTTGATAAGAAATATGTGTAACCCGATTAAGAAACAAGTCCCCAGAAGCTGTGCAATACAGCATAATGCACTGACTGTATAGCTGACACCAGGATAGCTAACTGCTTATTTTCAGAATTTAAAAAACAAAAACACCCTAAGGACAGACCATTCTACCTAAGAAATAAACCTGATTCTTTGTTGGAGATTGCAAAGTGTTGTTGAAGAGGCTCCACATTGCTTCTTGACATTAGTTGGACTTTCTTCCCCGTTCTCGTGCTGTCACAAAGTTAAGCAGGTCGATGGCTGTGACGATGCCAAACACCATTTGCCGCTTACTGGAGGAACCATCAGTGTGATCTACACAGAAACAAAGAGGAGATTCCGGCTTTAGGAGGCACAAAAAAAAAAATATCACACAATCCTACTTGGTTTTAATGGCATCGTTTGTAAAGACAGGTGCCAAGCCAACCCAGCTCCACGTGCCAGGGCCTGTCAGTGGAGCTGGTTATCACTGATGACCCTTGTACTTTGAGGGGGAACCTAAACGTCATCTTGACTGGCAGCCACACAGTAAGTGGCAAGGATTTTAATTTCAGAAAGGCTCCTCAACAAAAGAGATTTAGAAACTGAAACATTACGGAAGGAAAAAATAAGAGTCCATCAGATTTATTCTTCTTGACATGAAAATTTAAACCAAATCCTCTATTATAAAATGTATTTTCCTCGTACATAAGTTTCCATGGCTCTACCTGAAATAGATGCAAATTAATATTATCCCATTAGAACCAGGGATCACCAGAGGACATGCAACACTACCATCTTCCTACACTGCTGTCAAATACAGAATTAGTACCAAAACAACCCCAAAAACATTCACAATGCATTTTCCCATTTATATAAAAAAAACTTATTAACTATTTAATCATTGCTGCATTGAAAGCATAGGTTCAAGAGATTTTTCATTGAGAGCATAAGCCTTTGACCTGGGAACCAAGCGGCCAAGTGACCTCTGGCCCTTTATCCTAAAGCCTGGCTGTATTAAAATGTTTAGCATCTTATGTAAGCAGTTTGCTCAGCCAGCTGGGTTGTCCTGGCCTTTCCATTTACTCAATCTTTGTTTCATTGCAAGCTTCCAGTGAGATTCTAGGTTGATAAACAGGACAGAGGAGCACATCCTTACGGAGATTATCAGGAACAACCCCAAATTTCATTACCATTCTTCATTTACAGTTATAATTGAGGTAACCGTCAGATAAGTTTATCTGGTGAGTCTTAATATTGTCTTTAGACTAGCTCCTCAGTGTGTGTAATTTTGCAAGTTATCTGCTGTAGGGAAGACAAACCAGGAAAAAATATTATTCACATATAACAGTGATATATCCTAGCTTTAAAGATTTATTTAGTCCTTTCCAGTTCATACAGAAGGCAGTGTAAAGAGTTTTAAGAAGGATGAAAAAAAGAGTTTGCAGGAAAAACGTCAAGTGGAGTAAGTTAAAATAAAAAAGAAAAATAAATATTAAGCTGTCTTGAGACAGTGATGTCAGTGTTGACATCTAGCTCTTATTAAGATCTTATTGTACTTTATTAAGTTATAATAAAGGTTTTGCTTTAGAAAGGCAAAAAAAAAAATTAAGTGTAGTTAGCCTAGGATGCTCCTTGTGATAGAACTGCATGGAGTAGGAAGTAGCAAAAATCAGTAGTCGTGCAGGAGCTTATTCTTTGGCTTACTGCTACTGACAAAGCCACTGTCCAGCAGACAAGACTCAGGCATTCAGTTCCGAGCAGTAACTTGCTCCAAAGGCAGATACATTACAGTATGTTGGGTTATTAATGGAGTTAACATTTACTCCACAAGAATTACAGTGTTAATCTCTTACTAAGTGTTAACAGCACATAGGTACATAAACAGAGAGAGGCTTTGGCTTCTTCAGAACTTGTTTACACACTCACACTTGTACTTGCTTCTTGCTACCACTCAAAGATTATCTCTCATAAGGTGCAGTACATCATACTCACATTGAATTTGTTCATGAACCACTAGAGCAAAGTGGTCTATTTCCAGGATATGAGAGAGTTTCCCCAAGTTGTCTGTCAGGTTTATCTGAGGAGAGAGATACAAAAATTAAATAAAACAGTCTTTTAGAAGTTTAGTGGTGAATAATCTCCATATACTTTGTGCAGTATTAAAAAAATACATCAACGTTTATATACTGCTCTCCATGTGAAGTGTTGTAAAACACTAACAAATCAAGGCTAACCTAAAAGATCTTTTGTTTGTTTCTAATTTAAAAAAATAAAAAAACCCCAAAGCACTAAATGAAGCTATTAATTCTGATTCTGTAAATGATTCGGCATAATGAGTATGCCGAATATCTGAAAACCTCAATGATAGAAGAAGATCAAGTGTTCCATGTGTCTAACCAAAGAATTTACCATAGAACTCATTACACTTGGTGATTTTACTCTAGGGAGTAAAGACTGGGGAAAAGTGAATGAATCAGGCTGCAAATCATCGTGGAAGTGAATGTGATCTGCAGAGGCAGCAGGTGAAAAGCCCAAACAAGCCAAAAACAAAACCAAGGGTGAAGATTGCTAGCTAACACTGTATTCAGGTGGGAATCAAGGAACTGAGAATTCAGAATTCATCTTTACTGAAGTTCAACTTTGCTAAAGACTAAACAAGAAAGCAGCCAGTGTTGACCTCAGAAACAATACAAATCCTTCTGAAACACTTGGCTGATGACCTGCTGGACCCATCTGAAAGAATGCATAAAACCGTTCCTCCTACATGCTGTAACATATTAAGCAGCAGCAACCGGCCTATTACCCACGTGACTCTCTCCAGGTAACAGCAGCAACCACTCTCTGACGTACTTTCATTTAAAGGGGATTAAAGCAACTTATGGCAAAGAAAAAGTCTTGCACTACAGATTAAACAAGCCTTTATCCTACAGTGAGCTCAGCTTGTGACTGAGGAATAAATGCATGAGCAGTTGGGCTGCACCGGGACACACAGCTCTCGTCTCCACACTAACTGAGTTAGAAGAGATCAAAAGGATTCCCAGCAGCCCGTGTTTAAGGGACCAGCAGGCTATAGCGCATACTGAAGCATTGATCCTTAAACTTGTGGGCCAGGCAAGAGGTAGAAGGAAATCTGGACCTACTGCCATGTCAAGTCAGCTATCAGCCACCACCACTGACAAGCAATTTTATGCAAAGGTATGTGCAAAGCCTAACTTTTTAAAGTTCAAAGCTCATTGAAGGCATAGAGCCCCTTGACATCTGATTGTGTATACTCAATGGATCTGTTTTCAGGGACTGAGTAGGCTAAAGAAGTAGCAGCCCATAAGCAGCACTGGCACAGCTATGAGAACATAGATTTCTGTTAAGCATTCCAAAACATATTTACAGAACTCCCACAGACTCTTCACCTGTCTCACTACTGTTCATTCAAGCTCCCTAAAAGTTTTGCCCACACGTTTTCCCACATGTAGTCTTTTTCTTTTTTTAAGCCTACTGTCTTTAAGACAATTAGCCCACGCAGATGTTACCACATTACAGATGACTGGGACTGCTTGTCTGGCTCCAAAGGCAAGTGACATTGCACTGCTCACGGTCCTACAACTAAATTCCCTCCCTCCCCAGAAGGAGGTGTGTGGGGACACCATGCCTTGCGTTGTTTAGCAGAATGGTAAATGCTTCAATGACACTAACCAAAATCACACCAGGGAACAGGCTAACAAACAGCTAAACATAGTAATAAGAAAGTGTCAGAGACCAGGCCCCAGCCCTATTTTCTGGCAAAGGCAGACAAGAAATCTACTAAGGCTATGCCTGCACCAAACCTAGTAGCTATTAGTAGTTGATGCAAGGATCCTTTAGGGAAGAAGGGATAGAGAAAATCCAAACCACTGGAACTAACATCTGACTCCACAAGAATGGATCTCCACTCCACTAACACATAGCACTTGTTTGGATTAGCAAATTATCCTGCGACTGGTGTTTCAAAGCTCTCGAGTACTATCCTACTGGAGACTTTAAAAAAAAGCTGTAACTATTACGTTTTCATTCCAAGAGATCACCACAAAATAATTGTAGTGATCATACCAAAGAAAGCTTCCTTCCTTGCCAAAAGATAGCTTTGCCTTGGTAGTCACAAGCTAAGCTGACCTCTTATTGATGGATGTTGTGGTACAGATCCTATCTGTAGGATACTCCAAGTCATTTCAGTGACACAGATGATCCGTTCTCCCAATCTCACCAGTAAACAAGCAAAATAAGCTTGACTAAAATGGCAAGAAAAGCAAAATCTACAATACCTCTGAGGTTATGTGCATTTAACCATGTTTCTCCTTTAAATCATCAATTCAAATGAAAATAAACAACAAATGATGCTTTTAGTTAGCATCACATTTTAGTTAGCATGTTAGCAATACCACCACTTTTGTGGAACTCTCCTTCCATCCTCCACCAAGAAAATAAGTCAGAACCAAAGAGAAAAGAAACAGTTAAGCTCTTCTCTACTGAAGATGCATGAGAAACTTCAAGCTGCCCATGGAAAAAAGCCACAACCTCAGAAGCGCAGAGAATTGGCTACTACAACTAACACCAGTGTAGCTACAGAAATGATTGCACACCACCAGCCCAGAAACTCTTCAGTTGTCCAAGTGAGGGAGAACATGAACTAAGCAGTTTTGTTACGCACCACATTTCCACCTGATGCTTGATTATCTGTCTGGGAAGGAAAAAATATATTTACATTTTTCCATAAAGAACTAGCATCCTTTCTCAACCTCAGGGACTTGGTAGTTTGTAGGCTAAATGGAAGCATTATACATACTTCCAGAATACAGACTCAGCTACTAGGAGACATTTTTGAAACCAAAAAGCCTGGTAAAAAATAGGTCAAGTATTCCATGTTATAAACAAAACCCATTTCCTGCAAGAGAAGAAAAGCAACAGCAACAATACTTGTATGTTTTAGAAAAGCACTCATACAGCTGGGAAGCTATGGTATCTTGGCACACCACATTGGATGGATGGGTGAAACTGGCTAAAATGAAAATTCACATATCTGGACAACATCAGCTTTGAGCAGCCATCCCCCTGTTTCAGCAAGGCATCTGATACAAAAGGGAAACAGTTGCTTGTTTTTAGCCAATACAGCAATAATTTTTAAGAGCCGTTTCAACATCTCCCTGTCTCTTTTCCTGGATAGCTACATTGCCAGGTTTGTGACAGGGTTTTAGGGGTAGGAAGAAAGGACAAGCATGCTCTATATATCTATATATGTGTGTGTATATGATATATATATATATATATTTATATATAAAACACAACATAGAGCCACAACACAAACCTGGGAGCTAGTGAGTGACCTAGGACAGAGTTTAGAGCACATCTGTGCTCAGTAACAGCTGCTCCGCATGGTCTCAGGTAAACCTTACCCAACCTGACAGCACTGTAGTCTTAGGACACCTACAGTAGTACTTTAAAACAGAGAACAAGTATTTGTAGAATATATCCACTCACCTGTTTAAATTGCTTGTAGATTACTTTGCTGACTTCATCAGAAGGCTGAACTTTTCCAGCAAGCAGTGAAGACAGCATGTTACCCAGGGTAACCATGCCTAAAATCGCTCTGGGGAAAGAGAGAGAGAGAAGACAGGGCTAAACAACACAAAGGCCTCAGGTGTTCCTGTAGATAAAAGCATCGACCCTCAGTTCTCAGAGAAGTGCATTCAACTGCTTTGTGGTATAAAGAAACATTATTGATAGTATACTTGGACTCTTTGCAGGAGACAGAGTCCAATTCTGGAGACTCACACAGAAGTCAGCAGGTGCTGTGGGTGCCTGGCTCTGCTGAGCATCAGGCTTTTTGTGTCTCTAGTTCTTGCAACTAGAGAGCTTTCTTGCAATCTGAGAGTGCTTTTGAAAAACACAGCTTCATTGTTTTACACCCTCATCTGTCCTTTTAAAAGGTGTGACAGGGCCAGAGACATGCTCACTCCAATTTTGCTTATTCTCCTTCTCCCTGCAAGGATGTTGCAAGGACCTGCAACGATTAATCCCTTGAGTTAGCACTGTAAGCAGAGAGTAACTGAGCAACTCCTCGTTACTCAGCCTGTTCTACAGGAGACTTGCAGGGTAATAAGGCATACCATCTTCCTGGGGACACCCTGGTTTATAGGTGTCACCACAACATTGCACTATAGTGCAAGGCTCGGAAGAAACTGGGTAAAAGCTGTGGTGAAGACTGGAAGGTTCGGGGCTGTTTTAAATATGATTTTTTGCTTTGTTAAGTTAAACAGCTATTATAAAAAACAGTGAAGTTATCCGGCAGAGACACACTGAGTATGTAGATCATATTAATCCTTAGAAGCTTATTATGTGAAGGGCAAGACAGTCCTGGCACAGCAACATGTCATGATTTAACCCCAGCCAGCAACTAGAACCATGCAGCTGCTCACTCACACCGCTGCCTCTCCTCCTCCAAGAAGTGTGAGGACAAGACAGGAAAAAAAGGAAGGGAAAGAGAAAAAATAGCCTTGTAGGCTGAGATAAAGACAGTTTAATAAAATAATAACAGAAAAGGAAAAATAACAATAATAATAATGACATAGGTCACTCTCACTGCCCAGTGAATTGGCACCATCTCAAGCAATGATCACGGATTACTGCCTCTTGGCTAATCCCCATTTATACACTAAGCATGACATCTATGGTATGGAATATTTCATTGGTCATTCCATTCTTCTGTCTATGCTTCTACGGGAAGCTCAAAAAAAGTCCTTGAATAGTGTCAACATCATTTAGCAACAACATTACTGACGTTCCTTTCACAGCATTCACTAGAAAGAAAATCCCCTCCTTCCCAGCTGAAACCAGGACAGTGTATTAAGTCCAGCATTTGTGTGTTTAAGGTAATATTTCTGAACTGTGTTACTATAACTGAAGAAAGATGAGTGAAAGGATAGTATACTTTTAGTAAGCATTTAAAGACATCCCTTGAGACCCAGTGAAAGAAGTGATACATATGGATGAAGCGATATTATGTGGACATACCCAGATTCATCAACAACTGGTACCTGGTCGAATCTCTTCTCCCGGAGAATTTCAACAGTCTTTGCACAGGTAACAGTAGGAAGCACAGTCAGAGGGGCAGAGAGCTTGAGTTCCTGAACACTGATGTTCCACCACCTGGGGATGAAATAAAAAACAAATCCATGCAAATCTTATGGAGAGAACAGAACCGGTTGTTCATGTACAGTGGCCTTCAATGCTATAGAATGACAAGAGGCTATAAGGAAGAGTCAGAATTCAGCCTGAGTCGATAAAGTTTCAAGGCTTTCAAGTTTTCTCCCCAATATCAGAAAGTCACTCAAGTATGTGAAGGCTTTAAGACTGAAACTCTTTTCCTCATTTTATCTACTTTCTAGGATCACATATAGGTAGTGCAGAGCACTAATGTCCCTAGTTTCTTTATTTATATCTTACACAGAAAGTTTTGTGCTCTTACTGAAAGAGCTACTCATATTTATAGTCATTACAGGTAGCAATTTACCCGCTCCAGCTATGTAGAATTGCAGTGCTTTGCACTCCAGAGCTCTGATCTTAGAGGTGTTCTCCATATACTACCTTTTCATGTCAGATACAAGCCCTTTCATTAAAAAAAAAAATAAAAATCATAAAGTAACAAGTTTTCTTCTGCTGCAATGCAATTCAAAGAAGGAAGTAAATTAATTTAAGCAGATTTGATTAACAGCTGCAATTTTTCATGCTATTGTGTTGATGTATGAGTAGCTAAATCAAAGGAATATAAATTGAAATGAGCTTTAAACTAGCACCTGCCATGAAGTCGACTGAATAGACTCATGAAAAGCCAAATGGATCTGACGTGCTTACCAAGGTTTTTTGACAAGGTCGTCTTCTTCTTTCATGAACCCTTTCTGAATCATCCATTTGTCGCTCAAGAACTTGGACCTGGAAAGGATAGGAAGTGAAAAGCTCATTAGAAGGCTGAACATCTGACCACAAACTTAATAGCACACAGAGGCAACTGTTTACCACTCATTACCACTAACAACTAAAGAGTAACTGAAAATATACTGCCATTCGCCATCCAAGCTTACCAGCCTTCAACACTGGAAGAAATACTCATGAGAAGAAAAAGGAATCCCATAGGAAACAAAGTCTCATCTGCACCAGTCCCTTCTAACACAATAGAGAGACAGCTTGGAATGGACAAGTGCCAGCCTGTACTCAGGCAAGGTCTGTCTGCAGTTTCTAGTTGTCTAGCATTATGCTGGATACAAGAGAAATCAGGAAACATTCATGTTTTGGGAAATATTTCAATGTAGCAGGAGAAAAACAACTTCTTGGCACAGCTCAAAGCCCTCACACTTCCACCTGTGAACTCACCCCAACATTGGCTGGTGCTACAGTAGTGCTGTGTTCTGCTGTGGACACAGGCAGCGAGAGCAGCCAGCCTTACAGGGACCCTTCCAGGAATGGGATAATAGCAATGGTCCTCAACAAATAAAACAGTGAAAGCAGCATCTTTCACAGGGAAAGACTTAACAAGTGATGGTTATATACTGAAGTCAGACGCAAGGAGGAGCTTAACTTTCAGACACTAAGCTCCTTTTTACTCCATGTCAGAGTCTTTCTAGATACCTCAGAAGTTGTGCCCCAAACACACTCCTTGCTTTGGTAACTGGGTTCTATAAGAAATACATATTCAACTCGCCACTGACATAAGGAGGTCTGAGGGACTGCCTCACCCTTTTCCCAGAGAAAAAACAAGCAGGTTCTTACATGTAGTTCCGGATAGAGTCAGGGAGGATAACAACACAACGCTGACCCTCCTTCAGCTCTTTGGCTGCCTTCAGAGCTACAGACATGGCACTGCCTGAGCTGCCACCTGCCAAAATGCAGATCAGGGTCAGAACTGTGAAACCGTAAGTGAAATGAGAAAGAATGAAAGAGAGGAGAGAAAGTAGAGGAGTCCAGGGCAAGGAGCTTCTGAAGTGGAAGAAGGTCTCTCTGACTTGAAACCCCCCACGTATTTTTCAGAGGAGTCACATCTGCTCTTACCACACAGCAGTCCTTCCTCTCGGATCAGCATGCGCGCTAAAGTAAATGACTCCTCGTCGTTGCTCTTGTACCACTGATCCACTGTCTGGCAAGGGGCAGGAAGACAGAAACAAGAGTCTGTTTAAATGAGGAGGGCTAGGGGAGCCACACAACTAGTACAAATTCAACCCATGCTCTTAGAGGTAACAACTGCCCTACTGAGTCATGTGCTTGGGCTTCCATCCTCCAAATACCAAGTGGTTGGGGTTTCTTTTGCCAAAGTACAGACAATCACATTAGCACAACAGACTCCTTATTGAAACCTTGCTGTGAGAACAGGCTGTTTTGAGACAGCCACAGAGAGCATCAGTTTCCTCCCCTCCTGGAGAGCTTCCCATGGACATGGGCTCTGCTCAGGTCATAGTCATATCACTTTTGGCTGGGAGGGGTTGGGGTATTGTGGTTTTTTGGTTTGTTTTTTTTTTTTTTTAATTGGTTGCTTGGTTTTTTTTTTTATTTAAAAAAAAAAAAAAAAAAAAAAGAAGTACAGTGGTCTAGGAAAAGGTTATCTGCTCACAGATTTTCCATCCAGCATTGTAAAACAAGTGTTTTTACACTTGTTTACAAAAGTCCTTGAGAGGACTTTTGCTGATGGAAAGAACAGGAATAGTTCTGTCTGCTAGCCCTCTCCTTTCGGTACAAAGAAATATTTCCACAAGTTTTTCTCCACCTTTCACCTCACTTCTGCATTCCAACAGAAAGCAAAGGGCAGTAAAATAGGCAGCACAACTTACAGATCTATCCAACACTGTGGGCACAAAATCATATCCAATTCCTTCTACTTCATACATTGTCTTGTCAGTCTTGTTCAGTTCTTCTGGTGTAGCAAGGATGGAGCCTTCAGGATCAACACCTATAATCTGGAGAAGCAGTTTCCACTTTGGATACCATGACACACTGTTTTTGAGAACACAGCTATTTACTCATGAGCTCTGGCCTCATTACAGCTGTTGGTGTCATATTAGCTGTGCACACAGCCAAGCTAACAGCAACCTAGTCTCCTATTCATTTCTTCCTGGCAACATTCACCTCCCATGCAAGCAAAACACTTTGCTGCTTCTGGCCCCTTGGCAACACATCCTGTCTCTTCAGGCCATGGACGCTAAGTGAGGGGCACCACTTGTTCTACATAGGGTTTGTTTGGTTTAAACAGAGGACAGGGTTTCCCCAAGACAAGGCTGTCCTCATTTGTATGTCAGGCACCATTACAGCCAATATATTTTGTGCCAAGTGTAAGCAGCCTTTATTTTGTTTACCGCTCCCTGCCTATGTAGAAAAATATTCACAATTGAAACACGATACCAATTTCTGTGATGAAATCTAACACAGCACACAGATAAACACACAGGTTGGCACACACAGAGAAAATTTCACTTGGTAAAACATCAGCAGGTCCAGACAACTTAGTGAAGGCACAGTCTGAGAGGAAAGAGAAGGCTGCAGTATGTACGAGAGAAGGAAGTTTCTCAGACACCCCATGCAGGGATCTGTGGGCCATTTTTCATTTGCTGAGCCAAACTTGAACTCTGGTCACCAGTGAGACCAGAGTATGATGATTTCAAACAGTCTGAAAACCTTTTTTTGCTGCTCAGAACTACCTTCTAACTGAAAAGAACCAAGAGGTTCCCAAGGAGACCCACGGCAGGCTTGCAAGAAATGGGACGTGCCAAGTGGAGCAGTTTAAGGTTCACACCACCAAAGAGAAATGCTTTAGGCTTACCACTTACTTTGCAATCTGGACACTTCTCTTTTAGCTTTCTGGAGATGCCAGTGATAGTACCTCCTGTGCCAGCCGTAGCCACCAGCATGTCTATTTTTCCTGTTTAAAGGTGAGGGATAGAAGGCAGTTGTGAAATCTCCCCCAGAATGATGAATTAAAAACCCACTTAAGTCAAAGTATGGAGTTGCGTTAACAAAGATTGGCAAGATAAGGGTCTTCACTTCCCAAGAGCTGTGTTATGAGACCACCTTGCTCTACCTCCATTTACTTCAACAGTGGTTTTGAAATGTCCATCCAGCAGCCTGGCAAGGCACTAATTTGTGGTACTTTGGACAGAGTTGGAGGTGGCCTATACAGATGACACCTGTAGTTTCCTATATTTCCTGATGCAGAGAACCCATTATTTAACTTATAATGACCAGCCCATTATATTAATTTACTGAATGAGTGCCAAGAGCATGGCATAGGTGCCCATTGAGAGAACTGTTAACACAACTGTTCTCTAATTTTCATATGAAAAATACTGTTTTGGTCATGAGCACTCAGAGCGAGTCCAGGTATGATAGTTCATTCTTCCACTACCCCTAGTTTCCATGGTGCATGAACATAATAGCTTTTTTAATAACACACACACTCTCCAATTCACACACAAAACAAATGCTTGCCCATCAAAAGAATAACACCCTGCCATGCAGAGGTATAATCTCAATAATAACAGAACAGTGACTGGCCTATAAATACAAACAAGAAACCTAAAGCTAGAAATAATCTATACTCAGTTTGTGGGTTTCCAGTTTGTGAAAATATACTCATCCTAACTCAGATTTAAAGAATTTTCCACAGAAAGACAAGCCAAATCCCCTGAACGGCTAGTGTTACTTTTCAGAGATGGGGAGGAGAAGATCCCTTCACATCGTCCTCACCTTAATGAGAAGGAATTTAATAGCCAATTTTCTTATTAGAGGGTCCCATCAGAAACTGTACTGTTTTATAAGGCAGGTCAGTAGCTTCCTTTAAGACTTCCTTCTACCACCTACTACGGCAAATGCCTACATGATAGACTGCAGCATCACACTGAATGCCTCCAGTAGCTCTCAAACCAATTCCTTCGCTGGGTGAATTAGCCCAGCTAAAGCTCTCTGCTGCCACAGCTCAATCACTTCTGGTACTCCAACCTGGCTGCCTACAGCTAACATGAATCCCCTGCAGAGTAAACAGGTCTTACTGGTGGTAACTGCAACACAGAACAGTTTGTACTCCTGAGGACTCCTAAGTGAAGAAGCTTTCAGTGTAATGGAGTATTTGGTCTGAGAACATAAAAATACCTAAGTGCCAGGTCCTGCACTTAGGTGTGCAGGTTGCAACAACCTCATGCAACACTACAGGCCTGGAGAAGAGTGGCTGAAAAGCTGTCAGGAGGAAAAGGACCTTAAGGTGTTGGTTGACAGCTGGCTGAATATGAGCTGGCAGGGTTCCCAGGTGGCCAAGAAGGACAATAGCATCCTGGCTTGTATGACAAATAGTGTGGCCAGCAGGACTAGGGAAGTGACCATCCCCTGTACTCAGGAGTGGTGAGGCCCCACCTCAAATGCTGTGGTCAGTTTTGGGCCACTTACTACAAGAATGACATTGAGGTGTTGAAGCGGGTCCATAGAAAGGCAATGAAGCTGGTGAGGGGTCTTGAGAACAAGTCTTTATGAGGAGCAGCTGAGGGAACTGGGGTTGTTTAGCCTGGATAAAAGGAGGCTGAGGGGAGACCTCATTGCTCTCTGCAACTACCTGAAAGGAGGTTGTAGTGAGGTGGGGGGTCGGTCTCTTCTCCCAATTAACAAGCAATAAGATGAGAGGAAATGGCCTCAAGTTGCACCAGGGGAGGTTTCGATCAGATATTAGGAAAAATTTCTTCATCAAAAGTATTATCAAGCATTGGAACAGGCTGCCCAGGGAAGTGGCTGAGTCACCATCCCTGGAGGTATTTAAAAGACATGCAGACGTGGCACTTAGGTACATGGTTTAGTGGTAGACTTGGCAGTGTTAGGGTAACGGCTGGACTCAATGATCTTAATAGTCCTTTCCAACCTAAATGATCCTAATAGTCCTTTCCAACCTAAATGATCCTGTGGTTTTTATGACACTGTATTTGTGATCAGAGAAAGCAATGCTGTTTTTACACCACTCTAGCCATGGCTTGGTTTTTTTAAAGATAACTTAAGCATCACTGCTTTCTTTCTCCACCTGGTCACAAGCAGAGGAATTTAAAAGCCAAAGCACCTTTCTTTAATGGGAAAAAAAAATCATTACTATGACTACTAAAAAATTAATTCTCTAATGACACACAGGAAGGACATGGACCTGTTGGAACAGGTCCAGAGGAGGGCCACAAAGATGATCAGAGGGCTGAAGCACATCTCTCATATGAAGACGGGCTGAGAGAGTTGGGATTGTTCAGCCTGGAAAAGTGAAGGCTCTGGGGAGACCTTATAGCAGCCTTCCAGTACCTGAAGGGGGCCTACAGGAGAGATGGGGAGGGACTCTTTATCAGGGAGTGGAGCAATAGGATGAGGGGCAACGGTTTTAAACTGAAAGATGGGAGATTTAGATTAGATCTTATGAAGAAATTTTTCACTATGAGGGTGGTGAGACACTGGAACAGGTTACCCAGGGAACCTGTGGCTGCCACGTTCCTGGAAATGTTCAAGACCAGGCTGGATGGGGCTTCGAGCAACCTGGTCTAGTGGGAGGTGGTCCTGCCTGTGGCAGGGGGGTTGGAACTAGATGAACTTTAAGGTCCCTTCCAACCCAAACCATTCTATGATACGTATGGGATTTGCTGTGTGAAAATCCATGTACTTCTCAACCACATTGGGTCCCCCAATACCTAATAAGAAGAGAATACCAGAGACTCCCTGAAGAGGAGTAGATCAAACATACCGTCACACTGCTGCAGGATCTCTTCAGCTGTGGTGTCGTAGTGCGTCAGGGGGTTGCTAGCATTACGGTACTGTGTTGGAACATAGAAGAAACATTAAGTAGACTAGAAAGACAAAAAAAAAAATAATCACATTGTGAGCCATTTCAAGAACACAACAAACATCATCCAAGGCCCACAACAGCTGCATACACTCTTTCCAGACTGCTTCCTTATTACTTGGACCTAGGCAGAATGCCCAAGGGAAGGTGCAACCTTTCTTAGTGAACTAATTTAACATTAGTTTTAAGGTGCCAGCACCCTCCAATGCCAGGATCAGATCTGTCTGTGGGACAGTTTCTTTTAAGAACATGACCCCTGTACCTAATTCTTCCCCACAGGACTGCCGAGGCAGTGGGAAGCCATACATGTTCTGCAGGTTTTGCAAATATCGGCTCGTTGCTACCCTCTAGTGACCATAAAAGCTTGCTACCCTGTAGCATGGTGATGCCTCAACTACAGCTCCAAACCTGGGACACTTCACCTCCACAGACACACCTAGGCTGTTGAACAGTCAACGAAGGACAGTAAGGAACAAGACTGCAAGACCTCCTCCCACGCTACGCCTGCACCTCTGACGCTTTGGCTCTTACCTGGTCTAGTATATGTGCATTGGGGATTTCATTTTTCAGTCTCCAGGCTACTCCCACATGAGATTCAGGAGAATCAAATCTGGCAGTAGTTGGGGTCCTCACAATCTCGGCACCAAGAGCTCTCAGGACATCCACCTGTAGGAAGTAAAGGTGGTCACAAAACCCAAAAATGGTCTTCTAGCACAGAGACTTCATTGAGATGCAGGGGAAAGAAAACATCTTCCCTTTTACCTGGTCTGCAATAGCCTCCTAGTGGTTTTCCTAAACGCCAGCCTTACATCACTGAACCATGGGTCTAAATCCTTAATGTCATTTGGTCTTAACTAAGTTTTATTTGGAAGCTAGATGTCAAATTCCTGTTTCTATTCTAGGCCTTCAGACCTGTAGGGACTGTTGGTACACATTGAGAAGCCTCATTCAGGCAAAACACCATCTCCTCTCATGCCGGTCACGTATGCTTTGCACTCCAACAGTGGTATAGCCCAGTATTTTCTGTTTAAGTGCAAATTATGCATATTTACCTCCTCCTCTGGAAGCAGGCAGCAAAGGAGATCCTCCTGGGCACTATGTACCAATCAACTGCTAGAAGGGCAAGGAAGTTTATGACACTGAGCTAAGGCAAAGCCTGGCTCCAGAGCCGGGGGGAGGCAGGCCTTTGGTGCTGGATGGCACATGGCAATGGTCATGTGGTACCTCTCCCTCCAGAGCAGGTAAGAGCAAGCAATGGGTATAGACCTTTAGGGGACACTGTTCTCATTTGTGCCACCACCTTTTAATTGGAACACTAGAAGTGTTTGAACTGAGATAAGTGGTTTTGCTGACAGCAATTTGCTGTCTCAAGCGTGAAACACAGGGGATCTCTTCTCTACTCTCTCCTCTTGTTTTGTCTGCTGGTGCAGCACCACAGGACCAGGCTTGCTCTAGAACCAGACATTTTGTGCTTTCCACAGTGAAGGTAAATTGACATTACCCAGGCAGCTTTTCCTTCTCTTTTGTTGTTGTGGTGACACAATTCAGATGCTTGCCAGTACCCCCAGTGTAACTTGAGGAGGTAAACAGGCTCCCTCACAGCCTTGTTTAGCCCAGTGCAGAACAGCAGAATATTCAAACCTTTAGCACTGCCCTCCTTCCTACTCTGTGCAGTGAGGGGACAGCTAACCCAGGGACAGGTAGTCACTTCAATGTGCTAGGCAAGTCTTAAGTTCCCTTGACATTTGTATTTAAAACAGTTATTACAGTTTTCCAAGTGACAGTGCGGGTGGGTATACAAGACATTTTCTGTCCATAGCTAGCCAGCCTGGATTTCTCTGGGCACTGGCAACGGCCCCTTGGCAGAGTTCTGCCTGGCCAATGACTTGGAGACAAAGAGCTTACATCTTCGTTGCTAAAGCCACAGCACTCATCTGCACCAGGAACTCTGCAAGCGCAAACAAGCTTGTTTTTAAATTCTTGAAAATAAAAGCAGATCTGACCTTCTCCATGCTCATTTTCTCTGGCATCACAATGATACAGCGGTAACCCTTCACTGCTGCAGCCAAGGCCAGTCCAATTCCTGAAAGCAAGTAAAGACACGTAGAGCATACAGTAAGGAGCAACAAAGAACAAAACCCACAATGCTAGCTTTGGCATGCCCTGACTTTAATCAGATTTCCACCAGAGGCTTCAGAGTACAGTGTCCCTAGAGGGGTGGTAAAGGGAATATTTCTGGCTACCAGGGAGAACTGGATTTACAGACGATGCTAGTTCTTTGAGGATCACAGCCAACAAAGTTTAGCCAAGGGTGGGAAAACTTAACATGTGCAAACTTTACCCCATGCACATTACTTTACTCCTGTCCCACCCACTTAATTTTTACAGAATTAATTTGGGAAAGGAATGAGCTTTAAGCTAAAGAAGACTAGAGCAATCATTTTGATACTGTCAGAAGATCATTAGAGCTTCTATTGACACACTTCTACATTAAATCCCTACTTTATAGTGTGCCAAAACAAAGTCCATTCTGAAAAAGAAATTATTACATGTTTGAAAATACAATCCGGGAGTGCAGCACAGACTGGTATCTACCTGGCAGGGGAGCAGCTCTGTGGTAAGGGACACCTAGAGGTCCTGGTGGACAACAAGCTCAGTATGAGTGAACAGTGTGCTGTTGCAGCAAAGAAAGCCAACAGGGTGCTGGGTTGCATCAACAAGGACATCACCAACAGAGATAAAGAAGTCATTATCCCACTCTGGCCAGCACTTGTCAGGCCACGCCTGCAACACCATGTTCAGTTTTGGCCCCTGCTACACAAAAAAACATGTGGACAGGCTGGAGAGGGTCCAGAGAAAGGCCACAAAGATGATCAAAGGACTGGGAAGCCAGCCAGGAAGAGCTAAGAGGACTGGTTTTGTTCAGCCTTGAGAAAAGAATGTTTAGGGGAGACCTTATCACCATCTTGCAGTATTTAAAGGGTGACTACAAAGAAGACAGAAACTCCCTTTTTACAAGGAGCCACATGGAAAAGACAAAGTAGAAGTTACTGCTGGGAGGATTCTGATTGGGCAGAAGAAGAAAATTTTTCACAATGAGAACCATCAGTCATTGGAATAATCTCCCCTGGGAAGTGGTGGATTCCCCAAGATTGGACACTTAAGATCCAGCTGGACAGCACACCTTCTCTAGATTGTGCTTTTTTCAAGAGAGGTTGGACCAGGTGATCCTTGAGGTCCCTTCCAACCCGGTACTCTATGATTAAACGTTGTTTGTGATTGAGGGTCTAATACACTATGTCAACTTGCTACCACAGTGAAGTACCTTGACTGTTAGAGACAGACACCACATTTCTACTTCAAAAATCTGCACCTCCAGCCTGATTTCTGCCTTCCAGCTTGTCATTGTCTGCCCACCTGAAGAGCTAAGCTCAGAAGGGCCTTCCCCATAGAAGAGAAGCTTACACCTGCTATCAGATCACCTCTCTGCTGGATAAGCTAAACAGATCAAGTTAGTTGATATGTTCTGAGGTCAGGCTGCACAGCACCTCCCCTTGCTGTTCTGGATACCAGGCACAGTACCAACACATGCTCATGACAATGCCTCACAGTTTACCCCATACAGAGACTTGCTTGTTCAAAGCTGGTTCTGTTTCTACATGGTGTTGAATTGCGCGGGGTGGGGAGTATCTTTAACTGTTCCTGTAAGAGAAGCATAACTCACACCTCAAGTAATTCAAGTGGTGTTTAATTATTTGGGATGGTGGGGGGGGGAGAACTTTTCCTGGTATATTATAGATAAATATGTATGCCCGACTTAAAAAAAAAAAACACCAAAAACAATGGCCTCACTAAGGCCAAAGACTGAAGAGAAGCCATCCAGTGCTCTACTCTCCCTTATGGTGATGAAGAGAGCACTTTTGAGACCTGAACTCTAACACTTTGTACTTTCTGCTACTGACCTGGAAATGCAGCAAACATCCAAAGAGGACTTTGGCTGAGGGAAAAGTGGGACGCAGAGAGGACAAAAATGTAACACATTAGCTCTCACATTTAACATATTCAGTAGCTCTGAGCAGTAGCCTAGAGCAAAAGCCATTTCTCTCAGGTTACTGTCTGCCCTGGTCTTTGCTTTTACATGAAGAGAGACATATTTCTGAAACAATTGTCCTGTATCTCCTTCAGTTGTTTTCTTTCTATCTTTTGGATTCTGTGGCAAAGAGAACCATTTATCAGGTACTGACCCAGAAAGCAAGGTGTCATAGTATAACCCCAGACACTGGAGGAATGGAATATGGTTATTTTCCACTACATGCCATTGTTCAGGGAAGAGGTATAGCCACAACCACGAGGCACAAGGACTTCAGTCGCACTGCACCCCCCACAGAGCAGCTGCCAAGCAAATGGCAACTGATATGACTTCCCAGTTTTCTGCTGAAGGCAGGAGAACTGGTCACAGATCAGCTCATCATCCTAGTCCCTCCATTAACAAAGGCTGTACTGTATCAAAATAACAAAAGGAAGATCTGCCTGGACTATGCCTATCAGAAGGCAACAGTGGATGCCAAGGAAAAAGTTTAGGAACAGGAAAGACGGAACACATCTCCAGAACACATCAGGCAGGACAGTAGCTTGTAGCTCAGCTCAGGATACTTCTCAGAGGAAGCAATACATTTTATATTGAACTAGCTCAAGAGGGAGCATTTCATGATGATTATTCCCCACGAGCAGAACAGCTTAACAGAACAGCAGCTGGAGCCCAAAGTTAACTCCAGGCTGCTCAGATCATCAGATGTTCTGCCCGGTTTCTGACTCACAGGGCTGTTCCTTTCTCCAGTCCTACAAGGAGAAGATGCTGAACCAAGGGGAACCTGTTGAAAAATCTAGGTGTGCAAGGCCTATGTCAGCAGACAATGCTGTGGGGATGCAGCTCATCTCCCATCTCCTGCACCAATATGGAAAGGCTGTTTCTCAAACAAGGCTCACCTCACCTGACAGGGACCATTCTATTCCTAAATAGAATGGGAAGACCCAGATTCACACTAGTCTTTTGGTGCTTTTTTTTTTTTAAATCAATAATTACAGTCAGACTTTAAGTCCTGAATAGAGCTTGAAGACCCTACTGAATCCAGATGAACACTTCCTTTCTTACAAAGCAAAGGACCTCTGCAAAGTTACCAGACCTCCTTCACAGCTGTTCTGCTCAGAATAGGACACTACAGAATTGTTCCTTGTATGAGATGGAAGAGGCACTGCTCCCTACATCACACAAGCAGGAAGGGATCCCCTTTCTTCCTTGCACAGGTAGCCTTCATGCACCAATTTCAAGTCTGTCTCTTCGAGAAAAGCCACAACAGCATTTTCCCCCTACACTTTGCCAGGTCTCTCCATCCCCTACCTGTGTTTCCAGAGGTTGGCTCTATGATAGTGTCCCCAGGCTTCAAGATCCCAGCCTTTTCAGCGTCCTCTACCATCCTCAGGCTGATACGGTCCTTCACACTGCCCCCAGCATTGAAGAACTCACATTTTGCCACTGGAAACAAAGAAACCAAGCAGAGTTCTTAAACAGCAGTCATTTGTTAAACAGGCTGCTGATCCCAAACATATCTGCAACAGCAATCCTGTTAACATGTCTGCCCAATTCACCTCCCTACTTTACATCAGAGACGGGGACTCATTTCACAGCATCTCCACTGTTAAGAGTCACAAGAGCAAAGCAAGTTTGGCTTTTGACACTGGCCACAGAAGCCAGGAACCCCAACTCCTTCGGTCTCAAAGTATGACCTTTCCTTTCATCTTTCCTCTTTATTACAGCCCAGTCATTTGGATGAAGAGCCCTAGGGCTCTTCCACTGCAATAGCACGGGAGAAAGAGAACTCTACCAACACGCCTTGCCTCTTTCCCACGACATTCTCCAGCCAAAGAGTTTCTGATCAAACTGGAAGTTTCTCCCATTGTTCAGCCTACACTTTCACTTAAGTACTCCCAGCACTAATCCCTTCAATGGTGTTAAACACCTTTCAGGACTTTAATCAGAACCTCCAGATATCTCCAGTATGGCTGGGTTTAAAAAACAAACACAAAAGACATTCACTGACAGTTTCGTCCCTTTGATCATTTTTCAGTGATCTTCAGAGGTAACTGCAGATCTGCATTTGTACACAAACTGATGAATACTTTGAATATGAGAAGCAGTTAAAAACATCATAAAACATTTTTAAAATCAAAAAATATTTTCTATGAAAAAATGGAAAAGTTGCAGGAAATATCCTCATGAAGTACAAATTGAAAGATGTTTTAGATGACCAAATCCTGAAAACCTGAAAATCTGCTAAAGAAAACCAGGAATTTTTCTCACCATTTTCTGCAGAGTACCTGCATTCCTCCAATGCCCAGATGGGACTCCAGTGGTCCCACTGCTAACCAGGACTACCCAAGTTTCTGAAAGGGTGTTTCTTATTTTGATTTTCTATCTGCAGAAGTACTCACAGAGTTCACACTTGAGCCCATACTGCTTCCCAATCTTGTTGATTCGTACCAAGGGTGTATTGCCAACTTTATTGAGGATGCTTGGCAGGATTTTCAGAGGTTCTGGCCTGGTACACATATAAACAAAGTCAGTGTATTCACAGAAGGGGCCACAGGCAGATCACACAAAAGCAACAAAGTGCTTCCAATGCTTTTTATTTCAACCAGCTTTCTCCCCCAACTTTACCAGGCTGGTTTAGTTTAAAAGAATGTCCATTGGGTACAAATTCACAAAACATCAAGTCCTTGAGCAAAACAAGGATTAATCAGATATCAAGCCAAGTGCTGAAGCAAGAATGAAGTGCTCTGCACTTCCTCCTGGCATGAAGTGGCTTAGCACTGCTGAGAGTCAGCTATTTCACAAGAAAAAGGCATTAATAATGCAATCTTCCATCTAGTCAGGGAACTGCTCGCCAGGTTGGTTAAAATAAGCTAGTTCCAGTCCATTTCATTTTGTATCTTGGGTGCAAGGCCCCTTAATCTGGGTTCTTAGCTTTGCTTATACATGGAAATTAAGCACCAGCATATCTATGTGCTAAACAGCATCAATTTAAAACAGTCATATTTTGTTAAATCCACGTGGCTCTGAAGGGATGTGGATTAGTGCTCTACTGAAAATCAACAAATAAAAGTAATACTTACAGAGTGGTATGACGATGAGGGGAGGCAGAGGGGGGTGTCCCAAGCTTCCATGTGCATTTGCTAGGTGTATCAGGGCGGATCCACTCCCTTTCCTTGTCATTAGCCTTGCAGTTCTCATTGTCACCCCCACCAGGGAGGAAATATTTGCCAGGTGCATGAGGGCATGAGTTCATATCTGGCTTCTGCTGGGGAGGAAGCCTCGGCATTTCATCCTTGGGGGAGGGAAAAAAAAAAAAAAAAAGAAAAGGGAAGGGGAAGAGAGAGTGATTTTTATGCCTTGCTGTAACAAGGTCAGAGCATCTTTTGAGACTATTGAAGTTACTCAAGTTCTGCACCATGGGAAACCAGCCATTCACATTCACATCACTGTCCCCCCTAAAAGAGCTAAAAATCATGTTACTTATACGGAGTCCTTATTCTTGTCTCTGTCCCTTCACCAATGTATCTATTTCCAGTCCAGTGTTTTAGCATGCAGTTCTCCTGAGGGAAGCCTGAACAGAAACTGCCCTGGTGGCAATTGTTAAGAGAGCAGAATTGCCTATAAGCCAAAGGAGGAATGGCAACAGTTAGCCTTTAACACACAAGAACAGGTTCTGCCACTGACTATAAGAGATCATATCACTGTATCTAAGATCCAGGTGTTAGGGAAGAGAGCACAGTATGCCTCAGATACATGAATCCCATCCTCAAATGTCCTAGTCTTTTTTTTCCCTTATGTGAAAAAGGTCACAACAAACTTCACTTCCCACTGTGAATATGGGAAAGCATTTCAGCAAAATTTTGATTTGCCATATTCTTATCTTCAAAATGAGAATCTTGCACTGCAACACTGAGTGCAAAAGCTCAATGCAACACTCTACATGAAGAGAGCTTAAACACACTAAAATGTACTAACTGTAACTAGCCTCCATAAATATTAAGAAAACAGGACTAACCCTCATGGGAGACACCCCTCCCACACCAAAAACAGCTCTCTGAAATAAACACTCCCCATTCCAAGCAGAGAGGAACAGAGCAGGACTACTTGGTGACTAATTGGAAAATGTGCCAAAAAACTGAATTGCTACCTGTGGTCATGAAGGAGAACTCTTCCAGGAAGGCCACTGGTTCCAATAGCACCTACCTCCACAGCATTCCAGAAAAAAAAACCAACAAAACACTCCAAGAACAGATAGGTCTTTCCAAAATTCTGGTGACAGAAAAACAGGCAAACAGTATTCCCCAAAGACCAATGAGTACCTTAGACACAGAAACAGGCCTTTCTGACATCAACTTGTCCATGTTCTTTGGTGAAGGTGACAGCACAGTAGACAGGACTTTCTTCACAAGACTGACTGTGGGTCACAAGACTGGAACCCTCTTCAAAGCTGCAGATTGTGGAAAAAGGAAGAAAAAAAAAAATCAGGAAAAAAAAAATCTCTTGTAGAGGCAAGACACACATTCCTCTTTCATAGGGAAAAAAAGAAGCTGCAAAACAAAGTGAAGATGTCTTGTATAAACAGGATAAAAAAAATAATCACACAGCAGAGGTATTGCACAAGACCAGTGGAAGGTCTCTTGATCCTGTTCTTCCTGCATTACCTAATCTTTCCTCTGCCCTGATCCAGACCTCCATTGGACATAAGCTTGAAAGCCACACAAAGTAATAGAAAATACTCCAGTTCACAGGATATATACTTCTAGGGACACCAAAGGTGAAAGGGCTTCATGGGGCCATCACCAAAAGATCCTGTACACAACTTGAGAAAAGACAAGGGTTTATATAGGAACACTTGCAGAGGCCTTTCTACTCTTGAGACCTAAACCTCACAAGTTACTACCCAAACTGAATCAGTATTGCACGGATAACTGTAGAGATGCTGGATATGACACACAAAGCAAAAACTTCAACCACAAGGAAGCAAGGAAGCCTTCTAGCAGGCTTTTTGTTTCAGAAATTAGTAAATATAAATTAGAAGCAGTAAGTTCATTTTTCCTACTCCAAACAGTTGTTCATAAAGCCTCCCTGCTTCCTTTCCACTGAAGACAAAAATCTGGCTTGAAGTCTTGGAAAGTGTGGGGTTTTTTTCCTAATATTTTATTTTCTCATCACCATTTTGCAGCAAGATTCAAGCTCTTTCCATTACTGGATTGTGCTAGGCCTGGAAAGTGTCCCTGGCCTCATGCTCCTCCTTCTGACACAAACACACAAAACAGACACAGACAGGAAAAAAATCTGAATCACAGGATCAGTGAACTTTAGCATTTGATCCTGCAAGTTAATATGCACCACTAACCACTACTGCCTTATGTTCACCAATTCCTTTCTTGCGTACTGATTTAAAGAAAATCCCTAAGGCATTTAAACTGTCCTCCTTTAGGAAAAAAACCTCTGAAAGTGCCAACTTTCCAGATTAAGGCTTTAAAAAAGTCTCCTTCTGGATACAACTCTTCCATGCCACCAAAATGACATGAATCTTCTTCATTTAGGCTAATAGATACCCAAGAGCCAGGATGGACTACATTCTGTCCTAGACTACTGCCAGGACTAGTCTGAGAGACATCACAGTCCAAGAAAGCTAATATCCCATAAATATACATAATCTAACATCAATCAGTCTTTGTTACCAGTAATTAGCTTACTGCCAGTTCCAGAGTGAAACCCAGCCTTCATTTCTGTTTCTAGAAGGTGCCTGGTTCACAGTTCAGAATATCAACACTTTTTTAGTAAGGAAAAAATACTGAAGAAGTTTCAAGTCTTTTTTATGAGCCACATTCACACGCTCCTTCAGACAGCTGGCATGCTATACTGGACATAGACACTGACTGCCTCTGCTCACAGGTATCACTGACAATATTTACAAAGTCCATCTAATAAGGGTACCTTGCTGTCAAAGGATCAAACCATTTCAAATTCAGGAAGAAAGCAGCAAGGGGCTATAGACAGGAAACAGCAGATTTTGTTCATCTTCTAGGTTCTGATAAAATAGAAATGCAAAACCTTTAAAAGCTTTAAATTGCCACTCCTCAGTGTTGTTCAAGAGGGTCCAAAAATCAAGGAGGAAGGGAGAGAAAATTGTTTCAGTAAAAGTTTCAGAGGTTTCAAAAAAATAAGTATTTATTCTTTGTATTGATGGCAGGAAAGAAACGAATGTGGTTCTCTTCAAAAGCTGCCTTTTGGAGGATACCCTCCAAATCGGGAAAGACAATACCATCTCATTTCCTCTATTGTAAGGCAAAAAAATCCACATTCCACTAACAGCAACACCCATCACCTCTTGAACTAGAAATGGAAGGAAAAGCAGAAACAGAGAAAAAGCTATATTTATTGCCTTCAACTAAGCCGTGAGATTCTTTCATGTGTTTAGAATGGCAATACTCTGATGTTTGACCAAAGCTTCAATAATGGATCTAGAACTCTGAACAAAACCAAGGATAGAGAGAAAAAGCTAATCACAAGCATTGCCAACAAAAATCTTGTCACCAAATACTAACCTTAAGCAACATCATTCATTGGAAGGAACATAAGCTCCTGTTCAATAAATCCCTTCAAATCATTTTATTAGGCATTATTTCAAATAACCCCACACAGCCCAAAGTAGACAGGTATGCACACATGGATTTACAAAGCCAAATTCTAATCATACCAGTAGAGAATCAGTCTTAGCTATGGTCAACTTAACATCTTAGGGTTTTGAAGAAGGACAAAATCCTAGGACAGACTTGGTTGTTCTCCAATAGGAATTATTACTAAAGCACTCAGCAGAAACATAAAAGCATCTGCGATAGCTTACTGTTACACCTAAGAAAGGTCAAGAGCCCAAAAGAGCCCAAGAGTGACTTGTCATATTCAGAATCAACAGGAAGGTCTCAGATCTTCGAACTCCTTCAGTGCTACTGATGAGCTCCCTGAACATCACCCAGAGCATCCAACTGGTGCTTACAGTACTAGATGCAGCTTCAGCAAAACAGGGCAGAGGTGGTCAGCCTAGGACATCCAGATTCCTCCCAAGACCTATGATCCTGCTTACAGGCCCAAATCAGGCCATAGCAAGCCGGTGCATCTTTCTACTGGAGAGATCTTTGGAGGACAAAGGAAAGGGAGTGAGCAGAAATCATCAAAAGAGGACAATAGCAACTTCTTTGCTAGCGTTACCCTCTTCCCAGTCTTTCTTTTAGGAATAAAGATTGGGGAGACAGGCTAGGAGAATGGTGACTGCTGCTCCAACTTGTAACTGAGTGCTGTTCAGAAGAGCCTGAAGGACATAAGCTACAGGAAAAGTTGCCCATCTTCACAAAATAAATTCTGTCAGCATGAATTTAAGTTTGCTGTAAAAGGGAACACTCCCGTGACTAGCTAGGGGTGTGGGCAGAGTCTAACTAGACAAGCTGGACTAACATCTGCCATTATATCTGCAAAGTGCATGAGGCAGAAAAATCAGAAAGACAATTTACAAAGTCACTTATACCTAAGTCACGAAGGGGACTGGGATATAGGCAGAGGTACGAGATCCAGAGAGCCTCATGGGCAAGGCTCATATCTCTGGATCCATCTCCACAGGGAACCCAAGACCTACACTATTTCTCAACTCCTACAGAACTGAAGGCCACTGAGTGAAATTAATCCCCAGTCAGACTGGGCTGAACTCACTCCATAGATATGTTAGGATCTACAGTTTCTAAGGCTGTTTACAGTATATGATGTCAGCACTAACGCGGACATTTAAAGAGTATTGTGTATGCGAGAACCTAATTAACTTGAGTCTTGACTGAAGCAGAAATGGAGCTGCCAAAAAAGGCAGGTGTAAGAGGTGGATCAGAGAGAGATGCCCCAAGGGCTAACTAGTCAGCAAGAGATGAGATACAGGATTTCATTACGCTGCGGCCTGAGAATGGGAAACTTGGACATTAGGCAAGCTTTACTCCATGAACAAGTAAACCACTACTAACCAGTTGTTCTGCTCACTCTGAGTATCAGACGGTCTTAGAGAGCTTCAGGATCTATACAGGTTTAAAGATGTAGCAGTAACCATCCAGACTTTGGAAGCTGTTCAGAAACACCACAGCTATAAGTGATTCAGAAGGCAGTCAGCCATCTGGGGGTTTTTTTTGGTTTTGTTTGGGTTTGTTTTTTTTGGTTGGTTGGCTTTTTATTTCCCCCCCTCCACTCTGCTACTTGCTCAGTCGCAGGCAGCCATTGTTTCTGTGCCAGGAAACATCAAGTGACCTGAAGTAACTCATGTAAGAATTAACAACACTCTGGCTCTAGGAAGAAATACTTTGAGAATCTAATCTTATCTGTTTTCTTTTACAGAGCAGATGAGCACACCTGTGTCCTCTTACTCATCACTCTTCCTTTCAAGGCTGGGCTGGCGTACCCATAAGCATCCTGATAAGAAATGAGTAGTTCTTTAACGCCTCTAACACTGCAAAGATGTTAAAACTTCAACACCAAAGCAACTTCCACTGCTATGGCAATTGCTACACCAGAGATCAGCCTGTGAAAATAAAAAAACGTTCAGTCTGCCTTCCCCCCACAGAAGGGAAGCTGTACACGAGCTGTAACCCAGGTGCCTTTTGACATCTTCATTTCCTGAGTTTAGTCCAACCCTGTCCAGACTCGCCTGATAAGCTTCCTGAACAAAGACTGATGTCTTCAAGGAGCACAACAGCATTACAGAAAAGACTGGAGAATATCTTTATCTGTATTTTCATCTGTTGCTGTCAGAAACTGTCATTGTTTCTTTCCTTGCTTCTAGTTCCCTTTCCTTAGCACACAAAGATGGACCAACACTACAACCTAATCCCTGCTCTTGATCTGCTAAACTCACCAATTTCACGGAGGAAAGCATTACAGATGGGGTAACAGAGGCTCAGAGAGTAAGCAAGGTGCCCAGCATGACAAAAAGAGGGAACTGGAGCTCTGCTCTTAATTGCTGTCCAGGTCTGTAAAACAGGTAGAAGTACAGCTCCCCTGCATTACGAGGCATTGCATCTTTTGTTAGCCCAGGGACCTCTGATAAAGGTTGGCAAAGCAGCACTGGTCACCACTGCCTGGGTAGGAAGCCAGATTTTTGGCTGATGCATGTTTTGTGGGAAAGACCAGCTGCCGCCCGCTCTGGCTACATCTGTAGAGTTTTTGGCAGGCAATCCACAGTCCAACCACAAGGACGGTACAGCCTGCTGCCTGCCTGGCTCCTATGTATCTCACATGCAGACAGCAGGCACCTGCCAATAGCCAGAGGCCAACCTGTCCAAGCCGTCCTGGCAGCCTGCTATGCTGCCAGCGCCAGATTAGTGACGTACCTGAGCCAGCATGCGTGCTCCGGGACAAGGACCCTCCATGACCCTTGCTACCAACCACAGTTTTTAGAAGTACTGCTCTGCCTTAAGCAGGCTGGTTAACTCACAGGCAGAGAGGGGTCACCAACTAATATCAAAGAGGATAACCTGCACAAATGCCCCAAGTCCTGGACTTAACCTAGCACCTAAGCCATAGTTCATCAGTAGCAATCTCACTACAGCCATTCTCCTGCTAAGAAACACCAGGTTCTGAGCAAGTCTCAGTTTCCTAGAAAATACTTTTCCTCCTCTGACATAAAATCCCCAGATTTCACCTGTCTCCATGCTCTGAGTTTTCCCTCCTTGCTGCAGCACAACTTCTGCAGAACACAGAGCTTGCGTGCCTCAACTCAGCAAACAGACTCGTTTAAAGGGTAAACACTGAGCAACTTTGCTGGAACAGAGCCCAGCACTCCAAAACCTCCATACTTAAAGGGTTTATAATTAAAAAAAATAAAATATATATACAGAAGACTAGATTCTCAAACAGGAATAGGAAAGGAATTGCTTGTCTTTCAAGTAATAGCTAGTTCAATAGTATGCCAGCATCCTATTAATACTAATATTGCTATTAAGTAAGTCTCACAGGTGTTAGCCAAGTTCAGACCCTTCCTAACAGAGGAAGGGCAATGCATACAATAAAGTGTAATAGAAGCAAGCTTCTCAGTCCCGTGCATTAACCAAAAAACATCAGCAAGAGACCGCCACGCTACTCACGAGGACAACGGATGACAGGCCAAGAGCCAGCGCCAAACCCAGGAGAGAACAAAAGGCAGGGTTTCGCCTTGGGAGCCTGCGTAAGGAGCCCAAAGCCATCCTTTCCTCCCCCCGCTCCTCGCCCGGAGGAGGCGGGCATCCTCCGCCCGCCCGGAGCACCCTCGGAGCGCCGCAGGCACCCTCCAGCAGCCCAGCTCCGGGCCTCCGCTCGCCCCCCCATTCCCATCTCTTAATCACAAAACAAAACCGAAAGCCCACCCATGTAGCACCATCGTGTCCACCCACCAGCCCACCATCCTTTCCCCCCCACAGCGAGGGAAGCCCCCCCGACCTCGCGCCACGCCACCGTGACCGTTTAACGGCCGCCCCCGCTGAGGCGAGGTGGACGCTCCCAGCTCCCCCACGCCGCGGATGATGCAACGGGCGGCGAAGGGGATGCAGCTGCTGCCTCACCCCCACGCGAGATCCTCAGGACGACACCACCGCCGCCCACCCGCACTGCAGCGCAAGTACAGCACACCGGCGAGGAGAAAGCACGGGAGGAAGAGGAGGAGGATGAGAGGGAGGAAGGGGAGACCTGCTGCTGCCGCCGGGGGTTAAAAAGAACCCGCGAGCCCCAAGGCCCCGCCCCGCCGCCGGCCCCGCCCACCCGAGGGGAGGGAAGGGAAGCGGGCGCGGCCATTGGCCGCCACGGGGGAGTTGGCGAATGAGGGACAGCCAATGGGGAGGCGGCGCGCGGCCACGGGGCACCGCCGCCTGCAGCCGTGTGGCGAGCGGGCCCGGCCCGGGCCCCAGGCCGCGGCTCTGAGGGGAAACCGGGGACGAAACGGCCGCGTTTCTCCAAAGAGGCCCCGCGGGGCCCGGGACGAGGTCTCTGCCGGGGTCGCGGGCACGAGGGGGCGCGGCCAGGCCTCGGCCTTCGAAGGCCGCGGCCGTGAGGGAGAAAGAGGTGCCCAGGCTGCTTGTAACCCCCGAGCTCCAGGCCTCTGGCCACTTGCCGAATTTGGGGAAAAAAAAAATGCCCGCTGCATCAGAGGGGATTTTCAAGGGTAGGGCTGCAGCCGAACCCCCTGAAGAGGCCTCAGGGCTGTGCTTGTGTCCGGAGACCGGCCTTGTGCCACCAGCCATGCGACCCTGTCTCAGCTTGCCCAAGATAGGCATCAGGGGAGGGAGAAGAGGATCCAGGTGTCTCGGGGTCTGGTGTCAAAGCCTGGAAATGCCCAGCCCCGGGGTGGGGAGGAGCTGGTGAAGGCCCCAGGTGGGAGCTGCAGGCTGGAAATGGTGCTACAGAAAGGCAGTGTGACCGTCTCGCTGAAATAAACCCGCACCAGTCGTTTCGCTAGCCGTGGTTGTGCCACGAGTCTGGAAATGGGTTTATCCCAAAAGGTGCCAAGCCCTAAGCGTGGCTCTGGAAAACACCTAAACACTTTACTTGAAGCTCCTGTGTTGCCTGCAATTTGGCTGCTGGTGTGCTTGCTGGCACAGAGGCAGGTTGCACACTGCTGGTGAAGAAGGAGCCAAGGCCAGGCTGGATGGGGCTTTGAGCAACCTGGTCTAGTGGGAGGTGTCCCTGCCTGTGGCAGGAGGTTGGAACAAGATGGTCCCTTCCAACACTAGCCATTTTATGATTCTGTGAAGCAGCATCCACCTTGAGCTTTGTGGGTGTCTGTGTCCTAGCCAAATTGGCTTCATCTCCATGAGTCTTTATGGAACCAATACCATGGATGGATTGTTATTATGCCATGATGTCATTACTACACTTCTGATGGTATCTGAGAATGTGATAATGAAGTATTCACCTGGGAGGTCGCTCAGTGTCACAATGGCTGCATCTGCACTGTTGTGCATGGGGCTTTACAATATGTAACAGGGTGCGGGTGAATTCAAGATACTCAGTACCAATTGTCCCAGAATAATTCTTGACAACCACAAGGTGCTCCAGATTATGCAGAAAGAAACAAAACAAAACAACCCAGAAATCCTTGCATGAAAGCATGAGATACCAAAAAAGACTTACCAGAGTAAAAGATCTCAAGAACATAGCTTGTTGCTGTAGAAAGTCCAAGCAGCACTTTCTTCTGTATCTTATATAAAAGATACTAATAAAGAGAAAAGCAATTCAAGGTAGCTTTATTTTAGAACATGATTCACCCTGACGTGTTCCATGTGTTTTAGGTAATCGAAGGAGTGGAGACAATTGTATGTCTCCATCTGTACATACAGATACTATGTAGTGTAGCTATTTGGAGAATATTGCATGCTATATAAAAAATAAAAAGGAACAGGATGTTCTAATCAAATGGTAAAAAGACACTTTACAACTGGATGTGACCGGTCTGAAGCTGAATGACCAGTTGTAGGGTTACAAAGTCAAGGGTCTCTCTGGTAATAAAATGGACCATGACTAGAATATGGGGTGAAATTTATGAAAAAACACAGGAAAAGCACCAAGTGATTAAAAACAAATCAAGAGAAGAGCGAGGTATTTTGGCCTTAAATAGTGACACTGCGGCAGCTGTTTCATTACATATGTTAAAAATCCACACAAATTACAGAGAAAAATACATGGTGATGACAAATTACAAGACTTTTTCCCTGCCCATTTCTGGATCAAAGCAGATGTAAACCTACTTTGAATTCCATGTTGTTATTCTCATTTTCCTAAAGATTTACTAGAAAATACTGCTGGTAAATAAGACAATTATTTACTTGAAATCGCATTTTGCCTAGCTAATTATGTCTGAAATACGCGAGTAAAGTGAGGTTTGTACAAGTAAACATTAGTCCCACTGGAAAAGCATCAATTGTAAAAGCATGTGGAATCAGATTCCTGCTTTCATTTGGTGCAGCTAAATTGCAGAATGGCACAAGGGGAATGCAGAGTGTGAAAATGGTGACTTTAAGAACACCTGACCCTAGAAATGGGTATCAGAAAAAACATGAGACGCATGTGAGGGCACATGTGAGACCCAGCTGGAAAGCACAGTGAAGCAAAAAGCCCTGAATACTTGGAACAGAATGGGTGCAAGTGTTTGAAAACTGCAGTTGTACCTATAGAGAGTACCCAAAGAGGGATAACCATACCTTTTATGCCTTTCAGGAGGGACCGAGGGAAGAGGTACTGAGTCAGCTCTGCTGTCTGAAAAAGTGCCAGCCTCGCAGCAGCCACTGCACCTTCAGGCAGATGGGCATCGACTTACGAAATCAGCAGCACAGATGGATGTGCCAGATCCTATAACATGTAAAACAGATACCTCAGAGAGTGACAGCACTCGGCATGTTGGAAACTCCCTGAACATGATGTGTGAGGCTAATGAGAGGGATTTGTAATTGCACCACAGCTCTGCATCTCCATCAGCAGCCAGGTGAAGGTAAGTTAGCAACACTTACAAGAAAATAGGAATTTTGAGTTTAAAAGCCGACTTAAAAGATATCCACAGCAACAATGACCCACACTGTGCTACGGGCATTAGTGGCATTAAAATCAGTCATTGTGGCTGGAAATGAATGCACAAAGCTTTTCTCCACACCACTACCCGCTAATTAGACCCATTATGGAAGAGCCAAATCCCTGGGACATTTAGATTACTCTTCAACCCAGCCTTACAAATAACTCCCATAAATCAGCAGGTCACTACCAATTTTGTAAGTGGAGCCGCTTAAGCCATTTCCTGAGATCTGACATCGCTTAGGATTATTTTTCTCCCCAGGAACAAGACAAGTTGTGGTGAAGGTTGATATATAGTTTAAATTATGATTAATTTAATTGCATAGCGGCGATATGACACTGACTAGAATATTAACATTGAAATAAACAGCTTGTTTAGGAGCGGGAAGCAGAGAATGTTATTTCTTGTATCAGTGAAGAGTAGACATGCTGAAAACTGAAAGGTTCAAGGAGAGAGATCCCTTGGACAAGTGCAATAGTGATGAAATGGAGGTGGGGGAAGGTAAATGCTGTTGTGGTAGGATCCCTGGAGGAGGAAGATCAGGTGGAGGAGGCTTTTTGGGAGAGACTAATGAACCAGTGGTGGTTTGGTGGTACCAAGATCCCAAGGGAGAGCACAAGGTTATCACGCAAGCTTGTGGAACTGTTTTTATACAAAGGGAGGAAAAAGGAGACCAAGAAGAGCCACTCCACATTTTAACTGCATAGGAGAGGCCCCAGATAATTTGGAGGACAGAATCATAGTTCAAAATTATCTTTGACAGACTGGAGAAATGAGATGAGAGTGTAAAACAGGAAGTTGGCTGATAAGGACAAACGCAAAATTTTACAGCCAGGCAAGAGCAATCAACTGCTCGAGTAGCCATCTGGGCAGCAATCACCTAGAGTGGAAGGTATAACTATGGTGCCATGCAAACTCCATGAGAGTCAACAAGGCCCTGCTGTTGTGAAAAAAGCAAACATCATACAGGGTTATGCAAACAGGAATATAGTCTGTAGGACACATGGCACTCTCAGCATTGGTGCACTTTGTTGAGGTACCATGTCCCACCTGGAATGCTGCATTTCAAAAAAGATATGGCCCATGTGGGACATGGCCTGAGGAGCACAGCAGGGAGGCGTAGAGAGAAACATGGCCCAGGAGAAAAGACTGAAAGAGGTGGACTTGTTCAGAAAAGAGAAAACTGAAAAGAGGCAGAGCTGTCTTCGCTTAGCTAAAGGGCAATACCTTCACAATAGGAGAAAGTGGAAAAGGTAAAAGTTACAGCAAAGAGGATTTAGGCTGAACATCAGAACCACAACATTGCTTAGGCTGGAAGGGACCTCCTGAGGTCTGCAGTTCAGCCTCCTGCACAAAGCAAGGTCTGTCTAGAGATCAACCCAGGTTGCTCAGGCCTTGAAGGCCTCCCCAGAACAGAGACTGCACTGCCAGTTCAGTGCCTGACTTCATGGAGAAAATGTTTTCCCTACACCCAGCTGGAACCTCCCCTCTTTCAATTTATTACTTCAGTAAAGAACCTGACTTTTCCTCTTGCTGACCTGCCTGTAGGCATAAGGAGGTGGCTGTTATGTTCCCCCACAATTATCCCTTCCCTGGACTAATCAAGCCCTGTGCCCCCAGCCTCTCCCCACAGGGCCACCACTCCAGCCCCTGACTCTCTTGGAGGTTCGCCCCCCACCAACTCACTCTAAGTTACTGAGGTCTTTTCCCTACTGGGGGCTCAAAACAGTAGCTAGTGTATAGCTGTGGTCTAACGGGTGTCAAGCAGAGGGGCATCATCGCTTCCCTCAGTCTGTTGGCTGTCCCTGTTCATCCCACCAAGGATACAGTTTCCCCTCTTTTCCTCCAAGGACGCACTATGGCCTCATGCCCAGCTTGCTGCCCACCGTGACCCCCAGGGCCTTACCTGCAGAGCTGCTCCCCAGCCAAACAGCCTGTGCCCTGCCAGGGGTTGGTCCACCTAAGGGGTAGGACTTTATTTTTGTGCTTGTCCAGTTTCATGAGTTTCCTGCTGGCCCATCCCTTGAGCCTGTCCGGGTCCTTGAGGATGGCTGCCTTGCCCTCTAGTGTGTCAGGTGTGACACCACCCCAGTTTGGTGTCATCCACAAACCCAATGACGACATATTAATTTTCTCCTCTAAGTCACTGGCAAAAAGGAAAAAAAAGTAAATATTCAAACAGTACAGATACTGGCACAGCCCCATATGGTACTCATAACTGGGGAGGGCATGAACCACGAATCACTGCCCCCTAAGCCCAATGAAACCAGCCAGTTTTTCTCTCATCTGATAAGCCACCCATGCAGACTGTAATAACCCAGCTTGGATACCCCGGTGGAGTGAGAGATTCCATCAGAAACTTCGTTAAAGTCATCTGCTAGTACTGCAAAGAGGACATAATCTGCTGCTCTCCCTCCACTACAGATCTGTTCCCTTTGCTGAAAATGTCTTTTCTCTAAGGTGTTACTGCTACCACATGTGTGTTTGAGAACCACAGAGTTGTCCAAAAGGCCAAAGGCTTGCCTCCTTGGAGGCTGAGCCAAGAAAGGTAGTTAAATGTCTCTTTGTTGTGGTCAATATGGTCACACAGAAGGGTCAAAAACCATGAGTCAAACTCCTCCAGAATGAAAAGACAGGCACAGGCATTACTGAGACTGTTACTTGGTCAGCTTTTGGCCAGTCTTAGACTTTGGGATTTCCCTTGCCCATCCCTAGCCCAGCAATGCAACAATTAATGTTGCACGCAATCCCAAAGTCAGTAATTCAGTCTGCTCACTTTCTACTTGTGCTTTGTCCAGAAATCAGTTCTTCATGTCCTGCCTCAGTCCGTTTATCAAGTCTCTTCCCCCTACAGCTCCAGGACTTCTATCTCCACCAACACAAGAGGAAGCAGAGAAGCAGCATCCTCCGCGTTCACTGGAGAGAAAGGGAAAAGGAAGAGGAAATAACGGAAGATGCAGAACTGTTTTGGTCCATGAAGTGCTCTCTCATCATCCCCTTAGACACGAGCAGTACTAGCTCTCAAGGGAAAGAGGGGTGGGTAGGAAAGGGAGGAAGGGTTTCTCCCCCTGGCTCTCGGCTCCAGGAGGCAGGCTGCTGCACAGGCTGCAGCGGGAGCAGCTCGCGCTCCCCCTCCCTCCGCCGGAATCCAAGACAGCTCCAGGAAGAAAGCGAGAAGGATCTGAAACACAGCCAGTATTCGGTCGCAGAGGTAGCAGGACTTGAAATCACGCCAGGTGCTGGCAGAAGCACAGCAGGCCCAAGCCTGGTAGACTAAAGGCTTTGAAAAAAGAAAGGCAGGGAGACTGGCTTGATCACTGTCTGCCTTTCTCCCCACTTAGTCTTGTGGCTCACTGAAGCCAGAGCAGAAAGAATTTTTTTTTAATTTTTTTTTTCTTTTTCCCTTCCAGACCTAACTAAAAGAGCAGCTTTTTGGAAACAGAGACCTGGAAGCAGCCTACAGGCACACCCATTTCACAGTGCTCAGGCACACAGCACTCTGCATACCTTTGTCAAAAATGCATGAGTTTGTCCCAAAGGAACACCTTTCTCTTCCTAGTGGGAACGTATTTTTAAGGTATTTGGATCAAAGGGGCAACCACACTCACACAAACTGCTACAGGGCTCCAGCATCCCACCGCTTCAGCAGAAGTTACCGCCTTTCTGCTCTGCTGATGCGCGAACACCCATAACTTGCCTTTGGTCCTGTCAAAACCATCTAGTTAGAAAGCAAACACCAAAACTGAAATTTGTAGCAAAGTAGCAAACCCAACGATTATCAGAGGAGTGCCAAGAAGCAGGTATTTGTGTCTTAACAGCTGGAGATAAGCACACCCTTCCCGCTCCCACTTTGCATATGATGAAATGAAGTCAGGGGCTACCAGAGCTAGTCTGTTGGCAGCAGATCTGGTTTCTTAGCTCCCACCCTTCAAACCAGATCTCCCAAATCCATTTTACAATTGAAACTTTAGATCAATTGAATTAACACCTTTTTTTGGCAGTAACCTCCAGCAGGAAAGCAGCGGCCTCCTAAAGTGGTTCTGCCGCCGCTGCTGAAATACTGTGGGATTGTGGCATAGTTCACTAGTAGTTCTTGCTGGAAGTTACAATTTTAGAAGAAATAAAACATGGCAGCCATTAACAGGAGATTAAGTCTTTATAACTGATAAGCACCTTGCTGACAAGGAAGGTTTGTTCACATAGTTGAAGAGAATCACTCCCATTTTCCATAAGTGTGGATTTAGCGAATTCAATATTGCAAAAAGAATTTGGAGACATTTGTAAAAAAAGTAACATTAGCTAAACAGACTAATTCAGAAATACTTGTGCATACTTTTAGAATGCATCACATATCAATTCAATCTGAAGGTGCCTTGATTTATCCCACAGACATTTGGCAGCAATTTTTTTTTCAAAACGCACTCCAAGGTAAAATTGTGCTCTCTGTAACACAACTCAGCATCCTCCTTGCAATAAATGGCAAATACAGCTTCAAATGTTCTGTAGGACAGCCTTACCTAGGAGGCATTACTTCCTCACCAGCTGAAATGAGCACACACCAACTCAGTCCCATTTTTTAGCTCTGTCTTTTCCTGAAGCAAACTATTTTTTGGGGGGGCGGGCAGCCATCAGCACAACAGCGTCAGTGGTTGCAAGCATTTGGAGAATGGAGTGATCACCATCCCCCCTAAACTGCCGTGGAAGCAGTTTCACTTCTAATATACTAAAGGCAGTACATTCAGTTTAAGGTGCTGTTGTAAAATAGTGGCAATGGACACAGTTGCTCATGCCCAAAGTTTCGCAGCTGGAGCAATGCAATGTTAGGGAAGATACATCTTTAAAAAGCCATAAGCCATCTCGGTTCCTCATTTCTTCAATTAAACACGCTCCTTCTGTCAAAAATGAGCCACCTTGCTCGCTACAGACCACCACAACAGAAACTTGCAGGTTCCCTTAACCAGAACCCTTACCATCAAAAAAGAAAACGAACTAAAAATAAGACACAAACCCCAACTCCTAACCCCAAGTTGCACTCTTGATACTTCAACTTTGTCAAGTAACTATGGAGAGGTTATTTTTTGAGTTTTCTTTTTTTTTTAGTTGAAGACATGCTCCACCAGGTCTAAAAAAAGCAGAAGACAAAGAATCACTCAAAAAAATAGCTCAAGAACTGAAACTTTGTAGTCTATGTCCTCACTAGTCATTTGAAGAGAAGCATCCCATCTGAAGGAAAGGGATAATTTTTGTCAGATTCTTATAAAAAAAGGCTTTATTTTGAACAAGTTTTCTCCATTTGGTTTTACAGTCTCAGCATACATCATATTCATGGACAAGCAGCATTTTCACAGAATAAGAGCCAAATACAAAGAAGAGGAAGCCACTTGGGATTAACAGTTTCAACCTAATTGACTCAGACTTCAGAAAATACTGTATGCTGTCACTTATTTGAGGTAAAGGAATTCCATAAATTAGAGATCCACTGTTTAACAGAAGAGCCAACAATGAAATATTTGTGAGAAGTAGGTACCTTTGGGAAGGAGGGGGAAAAAATTTGACTCAAAGACATTGTAAGCAACAACAGAAGGGGGAGGTAGGATTTCCACTTCGTATTGGTATAATACAGTTTGGACTACCATGTATGAATGTTTAAACAAATTTGTGCAGTTTAAATTTCAAGTTTGCTGAATTTTACTGGTAGTATAGTCTTAAAAGGTGAACATAACTGAAGATATGTCATGAGCTTAGTTTATAAGCTGAATGCTGTCCTTAGGTAATAATTACACGATCAGGTAATGATCGGCGCACGAGTTTTTTCCTTCGAGTGTCCAGTACAGTCTGTTCATTGCTTTCACTGCCCGTTATGACATATTCCAGTTACATGGTTAATTTTTGGGTAGCTGTGCAGGCCGACCATAAAATTATGCATTTGGTGGGATTCAAGAATGCTTTCTTAAGAAAAATTGTACTAGGGGGAGGGAGAAATCAACCTTCTGCTATCTGTTCACACACAAATATACCTGCAGTTTAACAGGGTTTAGATAAACAGATGAAAGCTATTACAGGGACACATTTGTATTAGTTTAAAATTGTTTATAGAGCAAATCAGCTTCTGTCATTATTGCTGTTAAAAAAAAAATCTTAAACCTTTTTAAATAGTATCTGCATTATACTAGATCCTGTTTTAAAAAGCAGAAAGACTATCCTCACCTTTTTGACCTTGAGATTTAAATTAGCTCACTAATAATCCTAAATCTCACTAAACAGGAAATGGAACTGGATTACTATCCTGTAAACTGCAATAACTAAATTACCAATATTGAATTCCTAATGCCTAGCAGAAATAACAAAGGTTTCAGTTCAGCTGTCTAATGACAGGCACTGTTCAATTTCTTCCAGTGAAAAGAAAGCATAATTTGATTTATGTACTTGCAACAAAACATTAAGCAGTGAAGTTATCTTCACACAGGAGAGATACATTTCTTTAAAAAAGGTTACTGGCAAAATAAATTCCACAATCTGGTTGGCCAAACCATCCAATGTGTACAAAATAAATTCAAATTGAATTGGTGCAGGAATTTAGTTGTAAGAGGCAAAGCAGATGCATTTAGAACAGCTCATTTTTCAATACCATTTTGTTTGCCAGCTCCAAGTTTCCAGTGAGCAAAATGGTTTTATACTTATTTTTGAGGCAGAGAGAAGCTGGTTTCTTAGTCTGATTATGTAATGCTTCCCTATCTTTTCCATTTGCTTCCCTTTTTTTTTTTAAAAATAATAATCAAGGAGCAGATTTACCATTTAGCAACTTACGTGACTCAGAACTTAAGCACTAGCAAATTCTCTCCCCCATTGGAAAGCTGTATTGTATTACGTAGCTCCATGTACATAAAGTTGTATCTTGCAGAAATATGACCACTAACCAAAATTTCTCACATTACACTTTGAATAAAAGCAGACACGAATGAAGTTAAACTGCAAGTCAGCCATTGTACAAATTGTCTCTCAAGATGTTCCAGCAACATTTCAATTACAGCTTTAACTCTTCAAGAGACACACAACCTACAATATATAGCTTTTCTGCAATTCAATTAAAACTCAGAGAGAAAAAGAAAGATGTCGTCTTTGTGAAGAAACTGCCATTAGCTGGTTTTTTTTTAGCTAACATCCATTAGCTTTTATCGCACTTCAGACTATTAGAAAGCGACTAAAGGTAGGAAAGAATTATTTTCCACTAGCATCCAATTAGTATCCTATGACTTCAAACGCTAACAAAATGCATTTCCTTAAATGACAACTAAGAGAACACAGATTGAAAAAAAACCTAAAATCAGTCTTATGAAATTTGGTCCTTGTATTTAGGACCTGGCATTTCCTTCAATAGATCCTATGTATCCTGTTGCATGGACCATGAGTTTTTTTTAAAAAAAAAAGCCTCACCTGCCTATTCTGAATCACTGCAATAAAAATACTACATTTTTCCCCACACTGCACTAGGCAACTTTCTTTCCAGCCAAAGAAAAGGAATTTAGTCAAGAATCATAAGAAAAAAAAAAAATTGAACTATGAACTCTGGCACAGCCAGGAGTAGCAACTCAACTACTCCAGAGTGCTTAGAAAATAGGCTTTAGATTTTACACCAAGAAATTGGATTTATTGTAAATGCCACAGTCACATTGATAGACAGAGCACAGACTTCTGTTAACAAACAAACATACATTTTTGTAACTAAGCGTTTCTACTTGGTAAATAAATGCATTTCGCACAGCCTTCCTTTCAAATGTGCCTAAACTAACCTAAATAAGCAGACAGCATAGCAGAAAAGGGAAACTTTTGTGAGTAACTGTTTCTTAAGCAGTATATTATTTTTACTATGTATATAATATTTTATATTATATACACACACATTTTCATCAACAGTTCAAATTATACCCGAATAAAAAAAAAAAACCCCAAACAAAACCAAAACTGGCGCTCCTCCAATACATTTACCACCTTTCCCTCAGGCATAGTTAATCCAGGTATTTGTCAAGTTAGAGGAATGACAGTTAAAAAGACTCCCCCCCACAAGAAACAAGTTACACAAAGAATACTGTATCACTACAAATTTTTTATTCAGAAGCCCATCTTTAAAAAAAATCTCATTATGAACTTGTTTGGTCAAACTACAACACTTTCTAGCAGACATACAGTAAAAATGGCATGGCTCAGAATCGACCAGATCTTTCACGATCTCTTGACCGCCTCCTATCGCGTTCACGTCCTCCTCCGCCACCACCACCTCCACGACCACGATCTCTGGATCTAGACCGACGTTCACGGGACCTCGACCTGGATCTATGCCTTCAAAGAAAAGTGTAAATATTTTATTGATTTATCGCATTCAGCAGTTTACTTGCGGTACCGCACAGTGGAATGCTTAGGGATGTAAGTAATGAGGGAGAAGAAAGACATTGTGACCTTAGAAGGATTAGTAAATTGGCACTCAGGCTGCAAAACCATGTATTGACAAACAGAACAAACTTAATACCAAGGAGTCGACACATACTGTTAAAAGTCTCAGCTGTTCACTGCCAATCATACATTATAATGGGTGTGCAAAACTTAAGCAAAGGTATGCAGAGGAACCAAATGCACTGTTTCAAAGCTGTTAATTAAAGAAGCAAAAGAAGGGGACACCTGCTCTTGCAGTTATGCATGAATTACTCTTAATAACACACAGCAAAAGTCTACACCTGTTTGTAAGTTCACTCTTGTTAAATTAATTACATTAACTAGCAAGTACAACTCAGTTCTTTTTCCTTCACAACCCTTCCAGAAGCCATCAGCATTTGCAAATAAGCTTCCCTGCCTCTGAGGTCAATGACTTAAGTTCAGGAAGAAAGTTAAAACCACCCAGACTGTACTAACACAGCTACTATGGATTTGTAGCTTATATGGCACTTGTCAAGGAAAAGAGTGGTTTGAAAAGTCAGTTTTATGAAATAGGTAAACAGTACAGTTTTAAATATGTGTAGGAACTACATCAAAACTAAAAAGCTCAAGGAAATGAATGCTTCAAGTCCTAAATTCGAGGAGTACTGTTCCATAGTGAAATGTTCAGGGGTGGGAGTGTGTACGGTGACAAATTTTACTGTGAGAGAGACACATACATAACTGTTGCATACCGCTGCCAGAATTACTAAATTAACCTATTATTCAGAAGTCCTGTTTTACCCTACTTTTTTCTACTTGAAAAACTTGATATATTTCATCCCATGTAGAACTACTTTCAGGTCAGCCAAGTTTACACAATCTACCTGTGAAACCCCACTGACAAAAACAGATTTTTTTAATATCAAGCCTTAACAGCTAACCTGTGACAGCTTTAGCTGCACAAAGAATTTAAATAAGGCCAATAAAGGCAAAATTGGATGGAGGATTCATCTGTTTCATCTCTTACCACAGACTGAAATTGGGCTATGGGTAAAATAAGCATATTCCAAAGCCAAAACCACAAGTCTGATCTTTCTTGCACTAAAAGGTGGTACCTTTTAATTAGCCTTACTAAGTTCAAGAGATCCAGATTCAGACTCGTGAAAGTGATCGCAAAGCTAGTACAAAAGCATACTTTGTCTTTTTCATCATTCAAACATCTTGAAAGTTTAAATTTTAGTTTAATAATAATTGGGATATTCCAGGAAAGTGTTTAGGCACAAATGCATATGCCTAAGCAACACAATCGACATTCTTCCCAAGTTAAATTCATCCTCACAAGTTCTAAGACACTGCCAATTAGAGACATTTCTAGGAAGAACACATTCACAATCCCAGGCTCCTGCTGTGACTGAAAGAAACCTACAAAACCATGCTCTATAGAAAAGGAAGCTCAACAATTTTATGTGCCTGTCCTAAATAGTAAAGTCCTAAAAGCAAGTGGATTGAATCCAGTTTGAAGTGAACAATCCGCAAAACAGGTATCATAGCAACAGCGGTGGTATAAGCCTTTCTACAAGGTACCTTAATAAATAATATATATAATAAAATGTATTTATCACCTTTAAGCAAAACTACTTAGAATTCCTACCAAGAAGGTTGTGAGGCTAGCATCAGTAAAAACATGAGCTCAATACAGTGACTGCCTGTTACTACCGCTACAAAAAGAATACTGGCTAAAAGAGTTAGCCAGTAACTGTTAAAAACAAACAAGGTTGGGTACTGAATATAATTTATAGATATGCTTGACTGTGCATAATGCTGGAAGTGGCCCATCTGATTCTGCCAAAATGCCCATTAGCCAAGTAGCCCAATTCTAACAGGGGTCACGAGCAAATACATTTAGAAGACAAAATAGAGATGTAAAGCAATGCTTGTCCCAAGCAATGTCTGCCTATAACAGGTTGCAGTTTGGGGAGCTGAAGTAAGGCAGGTCCTATGTACTTAGTAACTCAGTGATTATTCTTTTCCTTGAAGTTTGCCTTCTCTTAAAGCCACCGAGCAAGAAGCACTGTAACTTTTTTTTTTTTTTAAGAAAGACCTATTCCTTTGTTATAAACTGGCCACTTGTTAGCTTTACTGGATGCCCTTTCATCGGCATGTGTGCGAACTGCATTAGAATAAACAGAGGACTTCAGTTTAAAGATTTGCCTTCAGAATTTTCACCAACTGATCCTTAATTTACGCATGTTAATTGTGTTTAAAAGCAAACTTACTTTTTACGACGACGCCCATACAACTCACGTCTTAACTCTCGAGAAATGGGCTTCAAATGCATAAAGTTGCAGAAGCCTCCTCGTGTACACTCTCTGAAAGAGAATTCAAGAGAGACAGTTAAAATTCCCAGCTCTACACTGTCTCTGTTTGCCCTAAGCCCTAGTGGACCTCTACCCATCTGAAAGTTAATCGCCTCTAACATGAAAACCAGTAAACTGCAACCATCATTTACTGACAGTGACTCACTCCTGGACCAAAATCCCAAAAAGATGGCAAATGTCAAGAGGTTGACTGCAGGCTCTCTATGTTACACTTCCCAAAGTGGTTTTCTTCCTATACTAAGCTACATGTAGAAGCCACACTCAAGCAACCACCCTGTCTGTGCAAGCATTTCAGAGATACTGTCACAGTAAACAGGAAGTCACTTTTTACCCCATTTCGTATTGACGGCAACAGGCCTCTCTGAAGTCAGTCACAGGTGAAAGCTCAGCATGAATGGGCTGCCCATTAAACCAGCGGTTGTTCAGGTCAATCACAGCCTTCTCTGCATCTTCTTCACGGCGAAACTAAAAGCAAAATTAACATTTTCTTATGTTATACAGTAATATATGTAGAACAAAGATTCTTATCAAATCAGTTGTATCTGAGGCTTAGGACTAGTAATCAAACTAGAAGCTACTTCAGACTTCCTGGGACAGTCCATCAAATCAAGGGTAAAGATGCTAGCTTTTCATTAATCAGGGCTCAGAGCTAATCACAGCAGCAATATTTTCTCTTAACTATGTTCTATTTGGTCTTTCAAGTTTTGTGGCTTGTATTAGAAGCTATGATAGAAGACATTGTGTTTTCTTAGGACAACTTTAAACAAAGAATGTGTAAGAGTATTTTCTAATAATGCTCCAAATGTAATGGATTTTTTTTTTCAAATATTTTAGAGAAATCTGCATGAGAACTCATTCACTTGAACTAAAACTTACAAAAATCTGATCCTGTTTTACGATGAATCTAAAACCTTAATTTGAAATTCCTTTTCACAGCTAACCACTTAAAAATTTTTAAAAACAAAGCTGAGAATTTTAGGCATGAAAATACTTTCCACTTAAGGGAACGTACAGTAAACTCTCACACATGCCCAATACTGTGTACACACAGTAAAATTTCTGGAGGTGACAACTGTGTACTCATTATTCAAAGGGATACCAATGATTTTTAAGAACCAAACCTAAATGGCTCCAGTTTGCACCTTAAATCACCCAGCTACTGCCAAATATAACTTGGTTATGAGATGCTTTGTTTAACTGGGAAGTTAGAAAATAAATGCAGCTGTTGAAAATAAACACACCTGTTGCGAATAAACCTCTTCTCATAATGAAGTGCTTAAAAGGCAGTGCGGTGGGAAGACAGACCCCAAATTAATCTTGGCAAACTAAACAGTCCAGCAGTGGTGACTGTGTTTGTAACAATGTAAAAAAAGAAGTGTTAATCTTTTTGAAAATGACACAGGATTTTGACTATCAAGAAAGCTTCTCATCTCTTAAAATCTTTTAGATTCTATTCACATTTTCACTCTTTCTACTTTATATTGTGAAGTGCGAGAGGAGCTTATATCCAGAAGAGCTGCTCTCACAAAGTCTACAAGCATAAGGTAGCTTTTTAAAATTATAAATCAATAAATACCACCCCTATTGATTATATAAACACGACATTTTATCCTACCTTCACATATACGTTTCCAACTAGATGATCTCCAAGGTTATCACAAACATTCATCTCCTCAACTTCACCGTATTTTTCTTCCATTTCTGTGAAGACCTCCTAAACACAAAGCAGCCAATTAGAAATCTGCAGCATATCACTACAGAAGTACTGCATTTAGCAGTTAAGTACAAAAGAATGCCTTCCTTAAAAAAAAAAGTAAGAAAATATTTTTGTACATTTCTGATTTTAAAATTAGTACTTGCTTGGCCTGTACTGTGTCCATCTGTAAATACAGCACTAACAGGATACAATAAAATGTTATGGAAAATAGCAAGCATATAGTATTTACAGAATACATAAGATGCACTGAAAACACAACATATAAGCCTTGATGCTATAGTTTTACTTGTTTATCTAGAAGCAAATTAAGTTTATTTCAAATTTACAGGGAAGAAGGGGATTATGGAATCAAAATGCTACATGGCTTAAGTTGCCGATTTTTAAACAAAGTCTATTATAAGCAGTAAGGCTTAAGCTAATCTAAGGAAGGAATAGCTATATACCTGGTATATAGTTATACCAGGAAATATTTAGCACAAAAAGTTTTAAGTTTTATATCAACACCTGAGGAAACAAGTGCCTTTCTCTGAATCCACCTAATTGTGCTACACGCCGAATCTCATTTGTGTCAACAAATCCACAAACACTTTAATGCATTTTTACATCTTTTACGTACCTCAAAGAATTCATCATAATGTTCCTGCATCTCAACATCGCTCACAGCACCTGTAAAAATCAAGAGTCATATCAATTAGAGTCTATAAATAAGGAAGAAGAGATTTTGATCATACTACAAAACAATCTAGAGAGGCCGTCTGGAGCATAAAGACACCATATAGCATGGAGCTAACTAATAGGAATATTAAAGATAAGTATGTGTGAAGAGCTTTGAGTCCCTAAAGTAAATATGTCAAAACATTACATTGACATGATCAAATCAAAACAAGTTTTAATCAGAACCAAACTTGTATGCCACAAATTTAAAGGAAGGGCAAAGGAATTACTTTGAAATATCACTTTATAAATTTAATGTACAGTCCCACCTTCTATCTACGAACAATTTTACTTAAACAGAAGGCAAGTGCTTTTTCACATTTGCATATTTTAAAGCATAACAATTTAGTGTTCCTCTTCCTAAAGGCAGAATTTCATTTTAACATATACACCTCTCCAGTGTATACACTAGGATTTGAGAGTTCATAATGTAACATAACCCAGAATTTTTTTATTTTAAATTTGCTCAAAATAGTTATTGAAATGACACACTTTTCTCAGCACCCTCAAAGAAGGGTACCATAATGCTTTGCAATAGAGAGCAAGTTTCTAATTTAATTTTGAATATCAGTTTTTCTGTAGTCCTGCAGAACACCTTTTAGTGCAAGACAAGCCAGCCATATATTCAGGTTAGATTATTCTCATGCTCCAAGCTGGACTTTACAAATGAGCGCTGCTTGCCTGCTGCTATGAAAAAAATATAAGTTTGGCTGATTTTTCAAAGCTTTAAGAATATAAATGTATTTCTTCCAGTCTACAGCACTTTAAACTACATTAAGCTGTACACATTAAAGCCTAATGAATTAGCTCTTCAGCAGTTCAGTGGTTTATTAAGATCAAGCGGAATGAATGGTTTTAAAACGACACCTGCATTTTATGCTATAAAAATTTTCTAGCCTTTAAATTACAAACACTACTGTTTTAGTTCACAGAATGTGAAAGACAAGAAACTGAGCCAACAAAGCTGAGTTTATTCACTTCGGGCTGCCATGAAAAAAAGAGATGCTTTGGGCTCACTCATTTTTGGCTAGTATTACCATTTGGACAAACTTCACATTTTTCTTCAGAAGTTGTAATATTAACCAGCCACACACTGGAACTTGAATTACTTTTCTTCCACCCAGCTGACCTCCTGAAGAAGGCCGAGTGGCATTTGTTATATAGTTTAGGCTAACAATGTTTCTGCATTTATGCTTGCTTTTAAGAGCTTTCTTTTTCCCCGTGGTTATATAGCAAATTAAGCAAATATCAAACATTAAACCAGTATTTCTAGACAGTTTAATACTTAACTATATTCCTAAGGCTCTGCCAACACCACTGATAACAGCTTACTAACACCTAAGGATTTTTAATTTATTTTTTTTTAAAGATAGCAGACAGCGGCTTTGTGAGCCACTCTGGGAATAACTACTTTTTACCAGATGGACAAGTGCTAAAAAACTATAAGGAGATTTCATTGTCAAATTAGGAGATCATAAGCAACAGTTAGTTAATGGCTATTTGAATGTCCTTCTAAAGCAGGAAGCATACATGTGCACAAGCTTTATAAACATTCATATTCCAGGGCTACTGGTATCTGAACCTCAAGAAGCCCAATTACTAATTAAAATACTCAGGAAAACTACTGCTGTTCAAAACTAAGGTTAATCCTCTACGACGGCAATAGAAAGGAAGACAGTTAAGCAACAATAACAAAAGCATTAAATGACTACCCAAGTTATCAATTTAAAATACATGCAGTACTTAAGTAGGGACAAATATCAAAAGAGGGAGCCAGGAGTTCAGCAAACCTACTGATAACAGAGCTCCAGCTCTACCACAGAAGGTACAGCTGGGCTCTGTTACGCGTCTACCCACTTGTCAAGACAAACTCAAGTTGGATACCAGCATTCAGAACACTAAAGAATCTGTTCAAGACTCTTGCAACTGTACATCTAAACAGCTCCACAGACCAAACTGCTGTAACTCTGTGCAAATTAGTTACCAGCGCATTGAGAATGTAGGGACAGAGTGGAAATACCCAACTGTACAGTTTTTGGTTTACTGAAACAGCATTAACTACTAAGCATCTGCAACAAGAAAGCCTACAAACCAATAGAACTGTTTAAGCATCTAGACAAACTTACATAGCTCGTTATGTATCTAGCTTGATTGTGTGAAAAAACCCCCTCAAATTACTTCATTGGGCCATTATTACTTTTAGAAGCAGGCGAAAGTGTTGACTTTTAAGTTAGTGGCTGATTCCACAGAACACGTCTAATCAAATGCTGGTAACTAATCTGAACTAGTCTATAATCCAACAATCAAAAAAAGGAATAACCAAACAAAGCTTTATTACCACACAGTCAATAATCACTTCAACAAGAAATATTAGTTAGAAAGTAACACCAATCCTTTTTGGTCCTAAAGTGTTTGTTGTTTTTTATTTTTTTTTTAAATCTTATTCTAACATTTGATGATTCAATCACAACAATATATCGGTAATCGCAGATCAACAATCCTGGTCATTTAACTTCTGCCAGTCTCACAGCAGGTGTGTTTTTTTTACACCCATTCCTACCTCATGAGGCGTCATTAAATTAGTTCGTGACCATACCCAAATGCTTTCCCCTCCTCAAAAATACTTTTAAAGATGTATTTTCCTAGGTAAAGATACAACTTGGTTTTGCAATTTGAATTTTCAAAGCATGGAAGGAATTTTAAGCATGCACCTATCCAAAAAGGACAGCTGCCAGAAGGGAAGCGTTTGTCAGTCAAAGTGTATTCTTCCAAAGTAGACTCTAAATGGAAGCTGCATTAACTGAGGACAAATTTCCGCATGCAAAGTTTCAAATTCAAGTTCTCTTAACATTTACAGAGCAGGAAATTTTTTCTGGATGAAGTCAACGTGTCATTGTCCTGCTCTTTTACAGTGGAACCTAATGGGTAACACAAAACATACAGAAAAGCATTCCTAGGATGCAGGCAACTGGCAGGGAGAAAGGTGGTGAGAAGAAAGCAGTGCAACCAAGACTGCTTTACAGGGGAAGTACAATTTCAACCCTTTTTGATGTAATAGATGGTACTCAGATTCCCCTCACAATTTTAGGAGTAGGGAGGAAGGTGAGCAGCACAAAAAAAAAAAAATGGTTTTGGTGGGTTGGTTGGGTTTTTTTTGTGTGTTTGTTTTGGACACATTTAATGAAACGTGGTCAGTTTGATCTGTTAAACTAAAATGGTAGACCAGCTTAAGTCGACACTGAGCTCTGACAATCAAGCCCAGGGAACCAGTGAAGGAACTTGTATGAACTTACAGCGCAAACCGTCAGCAGACTGGGAAGAGTTTTGAGGGTTACGGTAAATGTTCAAGAGGGCAATGGTCTGAAATACAAAACGCAACAACTTTATATTATGGAAAATAATTTTAACAAGAAACTGGTTTCCTTTAGGGTCGCTTTAGCCGAGTCTGTGCTGAAAAGAGAGGTGGTTATTCTCTCCCAAGAAGGAGAACTTTCACTTAGCTGGTGACCTTTCTGAATCAACCTAACACTGTAAAGTAATAGAGATCTCATGATACTCCATTATTGTATTTTTTTAAAAATTTTATTCACCAATATTAATATAGAAGGGTTTTGCAAGATTTCAGGCAGGTATGTAATAGATGGCATCCAAACATAGTATTGAAATTACAAGCATAGTAATTTGTTTGAATTTGTTTTTACTGATTTCTCAGTAGGAAAAGCCAGTAAGGCAAGTAATACAATAATTGCAGCATAACATGAAATCTCCATTTTCCTAAGAATGTTAAGAAAACAGAAAACCCAAAGTTTTGGGACACTTACCGTACATCACACATATACCTATTTATTATTTTTTTGTTAAATCAAGAATTTGAGAAATGTCTGCAGGTTAACCTTTTTAAAAAATGCAGTGTTACTAAGAAATGAGGTTCTCTCTGCAGTGCAAAAGAGAACCTGCACCAAATCCAATTTATGCAGTCAATTCTGCATTCTGAATTGCACACATTTGACAAGTTCTTGATCTATGCGCAAGAAGAGTTCCGTCACTTGTCCTGTTTGCAACAGCTTTATGTCAGCAGCTCAGAAGCCAACATTATTTTCTCATAATTAGGAGTGGGCTCTTTAACACCATTCTTTAAAAAAATTTCTCCAACTGTGGGACTTACAGTGTGAGCCGTCAGCCGTCTGTGCACTGTTTTGGGGGTTACGATAGATGTTTTGAATCAAGATGGTCTGCGGGGAAAAAAAATAAAAAGGGGAATTCTACTGGCTGCTGTGCATATAATAGACAATTGCAAAGAGACAACTTGTTTGCAAACAGCTAAAAGTAATATTTTATTCTTAAGACTTCCTTTTGTATTTGCAGAATATCTTCCAAAATTGCATCCAGACCATCATATTATGAAAACAGTTTTAATTGACCACCAAGAAAGAGCTGCATTTGTCTCAACAGCTATCCTCAAAATGGGAATTGCGAGGCACGGGAACCTAAAACTTGAAACTACGTGATATTATGGAGATACCTAGATTTCAAGATCGGATTCATTATTGTAAGTCTAGGGGGAAAAAAAATAGTGTTATGTGCACAGCATATAATACTTAATGCCAGAGAGTCTAAAGTGTTACAGTAAGGTTTTTAGGCAAGCGCTATGTCTCATTTTGGCATCAGGAATTTCTTGGTGGAATTTCTGTTTAAATAATATAATAGCATCATGGGTTCACATGTTTCCGATCCTTCAAATAAGGACAATATCCTTTTAGCCCTTCTGCTTTTTACTTGAAGAATTAGCCCAGGCAGACTTGAAACCTTACATTTGTACCGTTCTTCTTAAAATCAAGTTGTCTGAAAAAACAAACCATGTTTAAGTTAGTAAACTAATATTACAAAAAAAATCCAAACGTCCACATCACTGTAAGCAGCTCAAAAATTGAAATTTGATTACTTAAAATACAAGCTCAATGTTAGTACAAATCACAATCCCCAAATAATTTTATCTTACGCATTATTATTAGTCACAGTAAAAATTCAGAGCTTAAACAAGTCACAGGACTAGCAATATCATACCTACATATACTGCCCACTTAACATGTTAAAAAAAAAAAAAAACAAACAAATCTGTAACATCACATTTAAAAATCACATTTTTTTTTATCATGGGTACAATCACACCAACCAAAGCTTTGTGCTTCCGTGGCCCAGGTTTAAAATACCTATGTTTTAGCCTACAATTGGAGAGAGCCAGAAACAGGCATATAGTTACAGTGTTTCTGCTGATTGGCGGTAATTTGATCACCCTGGATTGCACGACCTTTCCCAACACAGCTCTTCTGTAAAGTAGCTGCCACCGGCGATAGCAACACAAGATAAAAATACTGTGCCGGTCGGTAACTTCCCACTGGTAAGATACCAGCTCGTCTGTTTTCTATCACAGCTGATTATCAGTCTGCATACAAATAAAGATTTCTGTAGCGAAGCCTACACGTCTGCCAGGTAGGTTTGAGACGTTAAGAGCACAGCACGTCTGCCAGGCGCGGAGCTGTGGCAGTCCCAGACGTCACTGGATGTAGGTGACATACCCTCCTGCCCCACTTCAGCTAGCATGGCTAACAGCACTTTCTGAAGCCAAGCTAAAGACTGCATCAACAGAAGAAACCATTGTTGCACACAAAGGTTTTTGTAAAAAAACAGTTGTTTGGTAGGGTTTTGTTTGTTGGGTGGTTTTTTTTGTTTGTTTGTTTTTAACTTAAAGACAACTAGCGTGGAGGTTGTCTGATTCAGAAATATGTAGTAGGAGTCAGTGACCTAAATTCGGGTCTCTAAACAACCAGTCAGGTTTCAGCCCTCTCTATGTAGGTGAGCAACACAGAACAGTTTTGAAAATGGACAATATTATTTTTGTTATACGGTATTTACATTAAAAATTATTACGCTCCCAGAACTGGAAAGCTGTTTTTGTAAATAAAGTGCCAGCAATAGTCGCTCCCTACCGATCAGTAACCTAGACAGGCCCTCCTAAAACTACCCTGCCCACTCATGTACTCAACAAAGTTTAACTTCATCAGCACCATTGCTCTGAACTCGTCACGTGGACAGTACTTGCCTCCCTATTCTCCTCAAACCAACACCAGCCCACTATTTTAATCAATCCTGCTCCAAGTCAGCTAAAATGAACTAGCAGACAACTCCACTGCTATGTAGATTTTACCTTTGTAGGTAAAACCGCTGATAATACAACAGCTCCATAGGCACTACTTTTCATATGTGATATACCCAAAGAAATCTATTTACCTGTATACCTTAACAATCAGCGGTGATAGAAAAAGGCAAAGCATACAGTTCTCCAGGAATGTAACTTCTGAAAACTACAGAGCTCATAATAAAGACCCTATCATCTACTGCACTTTTTGGTTTTTTTTTTGCCAACAGGCAGTCACACATGGTGCCTCTGACAATATTCACATAGCCAAAGATAAAATAGTCTGTCGAGTCAACTGATGTATATACCCTCATCAACCAGGCAAGTTGTTTTCAAGAAACAATTCTTTCACATTCAGTGCAAGTAAGTTACTCTTGAAATTTAAAAGCCTGGGTCAGAGAGCAAATGTAACGACAGAAGAGTCGTTTTTATTTATTAATTAGTTTTCTTCTACTATATGCATAAGGGACTTAAGTTCACACCTTTGAGACAGGCAGAATATGCTGCCGTTTTCTGTGATTCAAAAAATCTGGGATGGTTTAAGTGCCTAAACACCACTGAGAAGGCACACTCACCTGAAAGTTAGCACTGGTTGGTCTCTACTACAGGCAAGCTTACAACAGCATCGCTTCCTGCAGCCATTAAGGGTGACAGGAGATAATTAGAAATGCTGGGAGAAGTAAATATACCCCCAAAAAAGCAAAAACCCATATAAACTGGGGCCAAAAGCATACTAGTTAATCTGGAGCTTGGTAATTATTCACTTGTATCTGAGAATCTACGTTTTAAAGTAAGAATATACTTCCACAAGAAAGAGAAAACAAAAGGAAAACAAACCTGGCTAAATGTTGGTTTGTTGTGCAACCGAGAACATCTGTCTCCATGACGACAAGCTCCAATTTTGAAATAAAATGAACAGTTGACTCTGCAATTAAAAAAAAAAAGTAGTTACACATTAGAATAGAAAACATTAATATGCAATTCCTATAAAACATATGCCCTAAATGCCTTTACCTTGATGTAGAGAAGTAACACAGAAAAAAATAAATCAAAATGGTATAGGAAAGCATTACAGTAAATCTGTTCATATTCATTCCTCTTTACCCCTAATTTACAGCAACTCATGTCATAAATTTCACCCACTACTCAAACCCAAAGTATATTTGAGACACCACCATGGACAGAAGCAAATCACTACTCTTTTACCCTTCTGGTTCTCCACTCTTGTCTTTGTATCAGTTTCACTAGGTGATGGGACAGGAAATAATGTGAAAAACAGTCTGAAAAGTCATGCTATGAGCTATATGGTTGCGCCTTAGTTCATGCAATCCTTTAATCTAAGCAATATAACCTGTTTTAAAGCTGACACAGTTGCACACACCTAATGTTTTATAAACCACCTGTTTAAAGTTATATTGTAAGGGTAACTCAGACTGCTGCCAACACAGAATTTGAAATTATTCAGATAAGACAAAAATCATGTTACAGAGAGTATGCATATAAGCAAAATAAATTCAATTAAGTCATTTCCACAAACGTAGTTAATAATTTTAAAATGAAGCATTTAATTTTTTAAACCACAAGCTTTTCTTGAATTAATTATCATCTCACGACACCTTCAAAAGTTCGCTGGTTTAGGAATGCTAGTAAAACTCACATATAAGTGCAACTCACATGGAATGATGAAAGAAAACCACAAGAAGGTTCAGTTACCTTGACTGAGAAAACTGAATGCAAAATTCAGAAGGGTAAGAAAGCTATAATGGGCTATATACGGGTAAGTGAAATATAAGAATTCTCCTGGAAGAAAGATTATTATTCCCATACTCATAGTTAACACCAATTCTTTCCACAATCCTGTGTAACCAACATTAACTCATAGAGGGAAGTGCTAAAGCATATGTGATCTCCAGCAAAACATTCTATTGTAAAATTGTGACATGCTTACTCTTCGTTATGTCTTTGAAAATATACACTTAGCATTACAATATACTTACTGTCTTTTCTGAATTCTATCCTGCAATAAAAAAAATACCTAACTATAAGATTTCCAATAGTGCCTCCAACTTCAAGGCTTTTTCTGCAGAGTTCTGCTTGCTTTTTGAATAGAAAATAAGCCCAGTACTGGATTTTCATGCGTGCTGTATTGGCATACACTAATGCTGTTAAACTGTAATGGACTATATCAGAAAGGACGCTACAGTAACAGAGCTCAAGGAAGGCTGCCTTTTCTGACAGTCGAGCGAATTGGAACTGGCACGTAGCGCTACAAAGCGGAAGGAAAGCAGAAGCCTCACGGCCAGGGGCCGACAAGAGTAATTTAGTCCAGCAGCAGCACATCGATGCCCCCTTTCATTTTTTACGAGCGGCAAAAACAGAACGTTGGTTTGGTCAGGCCGACGGTGACCAAATTCTCGTTAGGAGGGCTTTGTAAGTACGCTTCCGACAACCAGAGAAACTAGAGACGTTCCCGACGGGCGGAAGGCTGCAGGCAGAAGCCTGAGGATCAGGATGCAGCAGTCGGGCAAATCCTCCGCACCCTGGGGAGGGGGGAGAAATAACCAGTCGCCGTCCTTGCAGCAGAGCGGAAGCTCTCGGGGCTGCTGCTGCTGCTGCGAGGGGCAGGGACGCGAACAAAAGGGGAAGGAGAGAGGAGGCCCTTTCCGGCGGGAAGACGGGCACCCAAGCCGCCCCGGCCGCTCCCGAGAAGCGCGGCCGCCGTGGGGAGGAGGTTGGAGGGGGGGAAGGGAGGGAGAATGACGGGGGCGAGGAGGACGCGGCAGCACACCACGAGGCGCGGGCACGCCCGCATGGCGGCGGCGGGGGAGGAGGAGGAGGAGAAGTCCCCGCGGATCACAGACCCAGCCCGGCCCAGGAGGGAAGGGGAG